AGCTCTTGCCAATGTCCATCCTGAGCTGCAGCACTTGTCCAAGAAGTGGATGTTCTTCTTATCCCTCTGCTTACACTCCCCCTCAGCCACTATCTCCTCTTCTGCCAGCTCCCCTTGCTCTCGCTGGGCTGTGCAGCTGCCCTTCCGTGGCTCTGCCCCACAGACTCAGTGGTTTGGGGCTGATTTAGTGACAGTGCCCCTGTTTCCTCTGCAAAGCTGGTCTTTGGCCAGGGCCCACAAGACTGCTGCTCTGTACATCCTTCCTGCCCACAATGCTGTCAGCCTCAGCTGATGTGGAAAGGGATGAGGGTGGGCAACACCCTTTGTCCCCCGTCTTCCTTTCCCGGATGATGTGGGTTTTCCCTCTGCCCCAAGCTGAAAGAATGATGCCTCCGCAGGCATTTGGATTATGCAAGCTTAAGAAAAGGGTGGAGTGCAGGAACACTCAGGGCAACAGCACAGGGGAAGCTGGAGGGCTCTGACGCCAATGCTCGGATGCTGACAAGCACACTAATGCTGTCCATGGGCTGTGTGACACCAGCCCCAGGCCTGGCCTGCCAAGGCCATCCCCATCCTCAGCCAGGCTTGGGCTGAGCTGTGCTGTACAAAAATGCTGCAGCAGTGGTGCCTGACCCCAGTGCAACAAGCACCTTCTCTCTGGGCACAAGGGCTTCATTTTGCAGCGCCCCAGAGGTCACACTCCCGGTTTAACGTGAGGCTGGTGAAACAGGGGCTTGTTCTTAATGCACTGAGCACCAGAGTCAAGGGGTCACATCGGTCCCTTACCCCTGGCAAACTGCTCGGCTGCCTGGGTTGAAGCCAGGCTGGAGGCAAGCTTTCCAGGCTGGAAGCACTTGAAAACAAGTGGTTACTGTGGGAAAGCCACAAGTCACTTCAACTGCCAGGCAAGAGCAGGAGGTTGAACATGTGCTGCTTGACCTCCCCAGCATGCTGGAAAGCCATCCTCATGCTGGCAGCCCACTGCCCTGTTCCCACCTCTCCATGCTGCACTGCAGGTGCCACTTTCCTGCAGCTCTAGGTTCCATTTCTGGAGCTGAAAGTTTCCCTACATCCTTCAAAAAAAAAAAAAAAAGCTTGAGTTTCCATGCACAGCTTGCTGTCTCCTTGCACCCACCTCTTCCGTTTCTCCTGGACTGGGATGGAGATTGTGACCAGAGTGTCTGTGCTGAATCTGGAACGAACTTTTCCCTTACAGAAATGTTAATGCCACAGTTGTATGCATGAGAAGGGGATTCAATGGAAACCATTTCTTCATGTCCTGGTCAAATTCCTCTCCATTTGCTGCAGCTCTCCCTCCATATAACTTAATGCGTTACCTGGGACTGACCCATCCATGAGCTGGGGAGAAGGAAGGAGTGAGCAAGAGCCCAAAGCAGCGCCCTTTCCCCCAACCTGTTGTGCACACACCTGCATCTCTGTCAGGGTACAGAGCACTGCTCTGGGGGGTTCCAGCTGCCCTCCCATGTCAGAGCACTAAGCCTGTGTCCAGGCTCTATGAGTGCTGATGAAATGCCCAGGTGGCTTTGCTGATTTAGGGAAGCAGCAGAGCTGCTGCAGAATAACCAAGACCCCACACTGGATGTGATGGCCATAGTCCCCATAACTGTCCTTGCCCCAGCCTCCTGGCCTTAGCCCTGCCCCGGCCAGCCCCAGTGCTGCACCAGAGTGCCAGTTCATAGAAACCCTTCAGCAGGAAGGAGCAGGTGTTTCAATAAGGAGAAGCAGTTCTTCATGAGCTTATGCAGACACCAGCTTTGGCATGACGATTCGGGTTGTGCAAGACTGCTCAGTATCCCTTTTGGTCCCCACACAAGGGGGCCCAGGATGTCAAGGGTGTGGTTGGTCCAGTGTGGAGACTCAGCCCCGACAAAATTCCCACAGAGCCAATTTTAGCAATGCAGAAGTTCAGTGGCCAGGGTCCCTTGGTGAAAGGACAGGGCACGGCTCCAGGGTGGTGACTCAAAGCCGCTGCTGCCTCTGTGCTGGCCTTGGCGGTGCAGTAGGTGACTCTAAGGGCACATCTCGAGGTGCTGCATGCTGAGCCCGGTCCTGCTGCAGGAACTTGGCCTGGGACACCAGAAGCAGCACGGGCTTCAAAAGGCTTGAGGCACATTACCACCACACAGGCACGTCTTGTTCTGCGTTCCCACCATGTGTGCGGCCACCTCTCCTCTGTGCCACCAGATCTCTCCTTGCTTCCATCCTCGCTCTCCACTGGGCGGGGAGGTACGCTATTAGGAACAGGAGGTTATTGTGCAGAAGCCTCTCAGGCCAGGGCCGGGGCTCCCTCCTCTGACCCTGCGGCCGGACTCACCCTGAAAATCCCGCGGGCTGAGCCGCACCCGCGGTTCGCAGCCATCAGCGGGCAGGGAGGCTCCGCTTCGCCCAGGGAGGGAGCGGCCTCCGGGAGCGCAGAGCTGCGCTGGGCGCGGACACAGAGCCGGTCAGCGGGGCCGGGCGGAACTGCTGGGGCGGGAGGCGCCTCTGGGAGAGTTGTGGCCGGCGCCGGTCCCTGCCCGCAGCCCAGCGCGGCCTCCCGAGCCGCGGGCGGGCAGCACCGAGGGCGGCACGGCCCGACGGGCGCAGGACGCGCGGAGCGGAGCGGAGCGGGGCGGGGCGGGCCGGGGCCGCCGCTCGGGCCGCGTGGCGCGGACGCTGCCGCCGCGGAGCGGGACCCGCGGGGCGGGGATGCGAGCGGGGCGGTCGGTGCGCACCGGCGGGAGCGGGGCGGGAGCGGGGCGGGGCGGCCCCGGGCCCCTTTGTTCGGCGGGAGGCGGCGGCGCGCCGCCCCACCGCTTTGTCCGCCCTGCCGGCGGGAGCCGCTCGTCCCGGTGCGCCGTGAGTGGGGCCGGGGGGCTGCGGGAGGGAGCGGGGCGGCGGGGCAGGGCCGGGCAGGGGACGGTCCCCGGGCGGCGGGAGCCCCAGGAGTGCGCTGGGGCCGCGGGCGGGCGGGATCGCGGGCTGGGGGTCTCGGACCGGCGGGGCCAGCTGGGCTGGAGGCCCTCGGGGCGCTGGAGTCGGTGGGAGCGGGGACCCGGAGAAGGCTGGGGTTGAGGGCTGGGTCCCCAGGGTAGCAGGGGTCAGTGGGACAGCGATCCCGGATGGGCAGGGGCCGGTGAGCCCCAGGGGAGGATGCCTGCTGCTCTGCCCCGGGCAGGGGAAACTGGGGGTCTCCGGCAGGGCAGAGGGGACTGGGAGCCCCTCGCGGGGGGACTGGGGTCGGTAGGACTGAGGGGTGGGCGTGGGGCCCAGCCAAGGTATGTGGTGCTAGTCCTGACTCCCAGCGTGGCCGGGAGGCCCTGGGTGGCTGTGCTCCTTTGGGAACTGGCCTCTGGACACCTGCCCCGGCTGGGGGACAGCCTGCAGGTAGCTGTGCCCCGGCTGCCATCCCACGTCGCCAGCCATTCCCATGCCACACTTCCATACTGTGCCTTTGCCATCACAGCAATGCCGCCCTATTTTTGATTTCCTTGGGCTTGGTACCTGTCGTGGTTTGACATAGCTTGGGTTTTAGTTCCTGGAACTGTCCTCCTGCCTCGTCCTCTCACCTTGTTCTTCACCCCGGTGCCAGGGCGGTGTGCTGCCAGAGACTGGGGTAAAGGCAGACACAAAGCACCCACCTTCCAGGGAGGTGCTGGGGGAGAGGGGCTCACACCTGGGAGACAGGGCAGCCCTGAAACCTTGCAGGGCATATCACCACAGGAGGATGGTGGCCCTGGTGGGCTGAATTTGGGTCCCTGGTGCCGCCAGCCTGTGCCACCTCCTGCAGCAAGAGCATGTCCCAGCACAGATGCTTGTGCTGGAGGGACTGTTCTGCTTAGGTGAGGTTGGTTGGGAGGCTGGCTGAGCTTGGTGTAAGAGATCCTCTTGTTCTGGACAATAGCGGAATCAGTGTAGCACCAATCATCATCTGCAGGGACATGCCCTGGCCAGAGGTGATGGGATGGGGCTGGCAGGGGCTGCTGGGGGCTCTGTGCAGACACATACCTTCTGCTCACCCTGGGCCATCCCTGCCACCTGCTGCCCTGGCTTGCATCATCTCATGCACAAGCTGCTGAAACCAGGGTGGGTGTGGGTGTCTTGTGTCTTCTTTGGTCGGGAGATGTGACATGGTCCTTGTAATTTCCTCCCCAATCTCTAGTGTCAGCTGTTTTGCCAGGGTTTTGTGCAATTCCTTGGCTACCCCTCACTGCCCCTTGCTATCACTGTCCTGTTCCCTGTTCCACCCCCCCACCAGCCCTTTCCATTGAGCTGCAGGGTGCTGTGAGCACTGGCCACTGCAGGCTCTGGGGGCTGGGGTCCTGCAGGAGAGAGGGCACAGCACTGAGGTTTGGTGGGAGAGTGATGCTACATCTCTACTGGCCCTCGGAGGAGAGCTCTGTGGAGTGAAGGGGACCTGGCTGGTTAGCACATGGGGAGGATGCTGCTCTGGGGACCTGCCCCCCTCGGCCAGGGCTCAGGGCTGGCAGCTGCAGTGGGCCAGTGGAGCTGCCGTGTATTGCCTTCCTCCAGTGGCCTGTGGACCCCCATGGGAAGGTGTGAGTGCTTTCACAGGGTGTGTCGCTGGTTAGGGACCTGTTCAGTGCCAGGTGATAAAAGGGTGTTGTGTCACTAGGGGAGAAGGAAGTGGTTCTGCTCCTGCTTGTCCCCTCACAGTCCCCAGCTGGTGCTGCCCTACGCTGGCATGTTTGCTCTGGTTGTGACTGTGCTCACTCTTCCCCTAGATATGTCCCTGCAGGCAACCAGGATGTCCCAGCCTTTCCCCATCCCTCCACCCACCTGACTGGCAGCAGGATGGGAGCACAGGGAGGCGGTGCTGAGCAGGGAATAAAGTTTTGGGGAATAAAGGCAGGCCCTTCCTGAGCAGGGCTGTGTTTATGGATCTGTGGGTAAAGGAAGGGACAGTGGTGCTGGAAGAGGGAGCGGGACAGAGCTGGGCTAACGGCTGGCAGACTTCAGGGTCCCAGTGAGATGTGAGATGCCTGTGAAATTACTCAGTGCCTCTTTGCCTGCCCCTTCCTTGCAGGATTTGAGTCAACTGCCTGGTCAGGATGAGCTGGAGTTTCCTGACGCGGCTCCTGGAGGAGATCAACAACCACTCGACCTTCGTGGGCAAGATCTGGCTGACCGTCCTCATCGTCTTCCGCATCGTGCTGACGGCCGTGGGGGGAGAGTCCATCTACTACGACGAGCAGAGCAAGTTTGTGTGCAACACGCAGCAGCCGGGCTGTGAGAACGTCTGCTACGACGCCTTCGCGCCCCTGTCCCACGTGCGCTTCTGGATCTTCCAGATCATCATGGTGGCGACGCCGTCGGTGCTCTACCTGGGCTTTGCCATGCACCGCATCGCCCGCATGCCCGAGGCCTCGCGGCGCCGGCCGCCGGCAGCCCGGCGGGCGCGCATGCCCGTGGTGCGCCGGGGAGCCGGGCGAGACTACGAGGAGGCGGAAGATGACAATGAAGAAGATCCCATGATCTTTGAGGAGATCGAGGTGGAGAAGGAGAAGAGCCCGGAGGGCGGAGAGAAGCACGACGGCCGGCGCCGTATCAAGCAGGACGGGCTGATGCGTGCCTATGTGCTGCACTTGCTGTGCCGCTCCGTGCTGGAGATGGTGTTCCTCTTCGGGCAGTACCTGCTGTACCGCTTCGAGGTGAGCCCCTCCTACGTGTGCAGCCGCAGCCCCTGCCCACACACTGTCGACTGCTTTGTCTCCCGCCCCACTGAGAAGACCATCTTCCTCCTCATCATGTACGCCGTCAGCGGGCTCTGCCTCTTCCTCAACCTCTGCGAGCTCTTGCATCTTGGCGTGGGGCGTATCCGCGATGCCCTGAGCCGAGCCGATGGCCCCCCACTCCCAGCTGGCGACAGCCCTGCACCACAATACCCCAAGAAAGCCCCCAGCGCCCCCCCCACCTACCACTCCCTGAAGAAGGAGCTGCCGCAAGCCCCGCTGACCAACAGCAAGCTGGACTACCGGGAGAGCCTGGCCCAGGGGCGCTTCGCCCTGGCTGGAGCTCCCCCGGTGCACGAGCTGGACCGGCTGCGTGAGCACCTGCGCCTGGCCCAGGAGCACCTGGAGGTGGCCTTCCACCTGCAGCCCCCGCCACGGCCCCCCAGCCCTGCCCGCAGCAGCAGCCCCGAGGCCAACGGCATCGCCGCCGAGCAGAACCGCCTCAACCTGGCCCACGAGAAGGGGACCGCCGCCTGCGACAGGACCACGGGTGAGCCGGGACGGGGGATGGATCCCGCCCACTGGGTGGAGGCGTGGGGGGCTGCCCCGAGGCTCCCCTGGAGAGAGGATGCTGTTCCCCATGGGGTGGGTGCTAACCTGCTTTTTGCTCCCCACAGGGCTGTGAGTGTCACCAGGGACGACAGCGGTGTCTGCCGGAGTGGCTGCCACTGCCACCGTGGGATAGGCGTCCTGCCAGGAGCACAGGGCAGAGGATGCCTCACGCCTGCCCAGCCAGGCAGTCTGGACAGCCCTGTCCCGGTGGGCGGCAGAGGGGTCGGGGGCCATGGGGTTCATTCCTACTTAATTTTCAAAAAGGGAATATCTTATTTTTGTACGTTTTTATAAACTCATCAACATGTGCACCCTGGCATTTTTATACTCCATCCCAACCTCCACTCTGGGCCTGTGCCCCCCCATCTCCTGTTTCACCCACTTTTCCTCCTCCCACACCCATTTTCCCCAGCATGTTGTTTTCACACCTCCCTGTGCCCCCCATGCCCTCTGTCACCCATGGCAGCACTGGCTGGTGCTGTGCATGTGCCGGTGATTTTGGTACGGCTCCCTGACGTGTGGGGGACTTAGGGGAGCAAGCTGGGGGTCTGGCTGGCTGTGCCAAGCTGTGGGACAGAGGGCTGGGCTGGCATTACTTTTGGAGGCGGTGGGAGAGGTCCTGGTGGCACTGCACTGCCAGAAAGTGACTTTGTACCTTGGGGGGCCGTGCTGCGCAGCATCCTGGCACGGGGCTGTGAGTTGCGTGGCTGGCCTGCTTGGAAATGTCTGTGCAGAGGTCAGGGGCTGTTGTTCCCACTGCCTCCGCCCTGTCCTGGCAGGCCGCCCTCAGGCCGCCCTCGGACCAAAACTGTCTCCTCCCACTCTGGCTGCAGGGCTGGGACCCCCTGCACGGAGCCAGACCCTGGCCTCACAGTGGGGACGTGGTGCCCCGAGCTGGGCTCGGCCGGGAGCCAGTGGAGCATTCCTCATCATCTCAGCCTGGGTCACATGGGGACTTTTGTAGCGTTGTTTTTTACTCGGAAATGATTGTCACTCTGTTTTTCTTTTTTTTTTTTAATATCTATATTAGTAAAGGCTGAAGACGTTTTGTACTGAACTGCTGCATCCGCTCATTTGGGAGGAAGGGGTGGGAAGGGAATCCTGTGCGTCTGGGCCGGCGTTGCCGTGCCTCGGACCTCCCTGCTGCCCAGGATGACTCAGTCCTTCCTGCCGTGAGGATGCGGCTGCGGCGGGCCGGGGCCGCCGTCATCATCCTGCTGGAGAGGGGTTGCACTGGCCACGTTCCCATTTGGCCCTATCACTGTCAGGGGGCCAGACGAGGGGCTTTCCTCTGCCTCCCCATCCTCCCACCGTGCCCATGTCTCCCCAGCCCTCCACTGCCCCCGTTCCTGCACAACCTGCTGCCCAGAGCAGAAGGGATGTTGCTCTGCTCTGCACACCCCTGCCTGGGGCAGGATCAAACCCAGCCACACCGTGCCCATTTTGGCCAGCATACTCCAGTGCCCGCCCTGGTACCCCAAATCAGAACTGGATTCCTCTAACAGTATTTGCCCATCCCCTCATTTCTCCATCTAGATAGAAGCTGGCGTTTCCAGGCTGCTTTAGTAAAGGGAACAGGTTTATTTCACTCATCCCATGAAGCTTTCCAACAAGCTGTGCTGCTGGGAGAGGGCTCACTTGTGGTGCCATGTGTGCTACCAGCCCTGCCCACCAGTGTGAGGTTCATGGGCTCACCCAGGCACCTTCTGATCCTGCTGCAGCAGCCTGGCCCTGCCTGGAGCATGGGGGATGCTGTTGAACTCTGCAGCAGGAGGAAGACACTGATCTTTGTGGAGGTGCAGAACTGCAGGAAGGAAGCAGGTGGGAGAGATGAAGGCTGATCTGGTTGCAGACAGCAGCCGGGCTTTGGCAGGGCAGCGATGCCTTTGCCATAGGCTGTGCCTATCTATGCCCAGCCATGCCCTGATTTGCTCTGAGCTGGGACTGGCGCTAGGGCAAGTCTGGCAGTGTGATGGTACCAGGGCCAGCCCAAAAATCTGGCGTGTGCAGGGGAGGGTGGTACAGCCAAACTGCCCCATCCCAGCGGCCAGGGTTCCACTGGGCAAGCAACTCCTCCTGGGTGGGCTCACGGTCTGGGGCTGGGCTGCAGGGTGCCCTAGACACAGGTGCAGTCCTGGGCCAGGATGTTGGGCACCGTCTCGTACTTGAAGGAGTATCCGCCGTCGGAGGTGGTGCGGACGCGCAGGGAGCGCATGGTGCCGGGCAGGGCGGCGCAGCACAGCTGCACGCCCAGCCGGTGGCTCAGCCCGTGGCCTGCGGCGCAGCTCCCGTGGCAGTAGTGGAACACAAAGCTGCTGGGATGCACGATCCACTTGTCCCAGCCCAGCTCCTCGAAGGAGATGTTGAGGGAAGCCCGGCGGCAGTTGGTGTGGGCAGCGAGCTCCTCGGACGGACGCTGCAGCAGGCTCAGGGCGGCTGGGGACCAGGGCATGGCAGAGCGGCGAGCCCTCTCGCTGCCCTTGGCCCGGGTGGTGGCCACCAGGAAAGGCATCTTCTCCCCCTCGGCCAGGCAGGGGCAGCCGGGGCAGCGCACCAGGAGCACGAAGAGAGGCTGCCAGAGCTGGGGCAGCAGCACCGGGGCCAGGTGAAACACGGTCCAGTGCTCGGGTGTCCGCTCCACCATGGCCGGCACCGGCATCCGGCCCTGAGGTGACAGGGTCAGCACATCAGGGGTGGAGTGGTTGGGGGCGGCCGAGGGGCCCGTGTAAAACCAGAGCTGGGCAGAAGTCACCACACGGCTCAGGGTGTGTGCCGAGGGCTGGAAGAGGTAGGTGAAAATCCCTTCTTCCTCCAGCAGCTTGTCTGGCTGTGTGGGCTCACAGGGAACATCTGTGGGGTGGGAAAACATGATCAGGGTGTGCAGCCAAACCTGGGGAGAAACCCCAATGCCAGATGGCAAGTGGGATGTTGCAGAGGTCCCTGGAGTGCTGGCAGGGCACCTGGCTGCTGGCACAGGCTGTGGCAGAGTGCAGTGCAGCTGCTGTGCTGTGCAGCAGCTTCTGTGCTGTGCCCCACAGCTGATCCCTGCTATGCCCTAGGCTGGTCCATTACTGTCCCCTGTGTCCCCCAGTATCCTGCCCCACAGCTGGTTAGCTTGCCCCTTTCCCCCAGAGTCCATATCATGCCCTGTCCCCCAGCATTCAGCCCCATAGCATTCAGCCCCATAGCTGGTCATCCTGTCCCCTTCTCCCATCCTCTGCATCCTGACCATCTCCCCAGCATCCTGGCCCATCTCCCAGTCCTGTCCCCTAGTTGGTCATCCTGCTCCTTTCCTCCAGCATGTACATCCCATCCCATCCCCCAGCATTCTGCCCCATCCCTGCTGTTTTAGCTGGTCATCCTGCTCCATGCTTCAGCATCCTGCCCTGTCCCTTAGTATCCCAATCCACCTTCCAGTATCCGGCCCCATTCCCTAGCATCCCACCCTATTCCACCCTGCTCCTCAGCCCTCCCCATGTCTCTGCATCCAGCTTGGCCACCTGTTTCCCAGCCTCTCAGCACCCTCTTGTGCTGCCTGTCCCTCTGCTGTCTGTCCTCATGAACTGTTCTGCCTGTCCCTGCCTGCCATACCTTTCCATCTCCTGGCTCTCCATCAAATCTCACTTTTGCCCATGTCTCAACCTGGCACATCCTCTTCCCCTTCTCCCCCAGACCACCACATCAGCCTCTCCATCCTTCAGCATCTGCATCGCTCCAACCCCCCACCCCGCTTCACCCTTTCATCAGGATGTCCTCACCTGTGGCAGGGAACAAGATCACCTGGGAGGTGTCCTCCAGCTCCTCTGGCTCCACTTCGGTGCTTTCAAGGACGTCTCTCCGGTGCACCCTCCTGGCTTCCATCTGCGGCTCCTCCTGGAGCAGGGGGGGGCTCAGGTGTTCCAGCACCCGGGCCCGCACCTTGGCCAGGACGAGCTGCCGGTCGGGGCCGGCCGCGGTGCAGCTGGCCAGGGCGGCGCTGGGCAGCATGGCAGGCAGCAGGTGCAGCAGCAGCAGCATGGCCGTGGGGCGCACGGCTGGCAGGCTGGCAGCTCGGGGGGCTCCTCTGCCGCGGGCTTCTGCCTGCCCGCCCGGCCCGTCTGCCCGCGGCGCTCCCCCCGGGGCAGGGTGGCATTGAGATCTATCTGACACTGACGCAAACGTCTGCTCGCCGTGAATATTATCTCTGAGCTGTGAAAGCGCTGAGACGTCTGGAATGCGAGGACTGCAAGGACAGTGTGGTCTGGGGGGGCCGGCGCCCGGGCAGGGGGGTGTGTGTGGGGGATGCTGCCGGCAGCAGTGAGTGTGTGGGGCTGGGGTGGTGCCAGGAGCCAAAGCTGGCAGGGATGCAGGGGGGTACCTTGGGTAGCTCTGCAGCTGCTGATGCTGGGTGCCCCCCATGGCGGAGAAGTTGAAGGTCCAGGGCTTCTGGGGAGCTAGTGGGAAGTGACAGCAGCTGTGCACAGCAGGGATATCCGGGCAGGGACCTGGTTGGGATCAGAGGCCTGTGAGGATCTGGCATGGGGGAGTCCCCAGGGCAGCCAAAATGTGAGGATGGGGCCTTGAAAAGGGCAAGGGGAGGGGCAGGGTGGTTGTGGCATCTCCACAACCCTGCCTGCACTGTGGATGGTGGGCAGCCTGTGCATCCCCTCTGTGCCTCTGGCAGCTCAGTGTCCTGCACATCCCTGGCACCTCATGCAGCACCCAGTGCAGCACATCCCCCTGTGCAGCATGTCCCGGGTGACACGTCCTGTCCCACTCAGTCTGGTGTCCAGCTCAGGGTACAGCACACCCTGCACGCCATGCCATGCTCTCCACAGGGCACGCCGTCCCTCACTGCTGGCTGGGGCAGCACAGAGGCACAGCCAGGCCTGCAGCACCCCTGCAGCTCCCTGGGGTGGCTGCTATACATAGGTAGGCCAGCCCAGCCTCGGCGAGGCACTGAACGGAGCAGGCTCACTCTTATCAAGCCCGCGTGTCATCAGAGGGTATTTTTGGGGACAGCAGCTGCAGGCATTTGTAACATTTGGTCTCTGCGCACTGACACCCCGGAGGGGAGCTGGGGGAAGCAGCAGGAGCTGGGTGCCGGCACTGAGAGACGCAGAGACACGCAGCATAGCGAGGTACCTGAGAGGGGCAGGGGCTGGGCTGGGGGCTGCCTGGGGCAGGGGGGCTGGGGAAGGGGGGATTGAAGGGTGCAATGGTGTGGCCGAGCCATCAGAGCCGTCCCTTTGTGTCCGAAGGAGCTGCTGTGGGGTGGCCCACGGGTCAGGGCCGTGTGGATGGAGAGGTGGCTCTGCATGGGTGCACTGTCCCTGGGGTAAGGCTCTGGGAGGAGAAGCTGGCCGCAGTCCCTGTGGCTCCTTGGGGACCAGCCCTCTCCTACCCTCTGGCTCATTCAAGAAGTATTTTTGTTTCCCCTCCCCCTGCCTGAGCAAGTCACAGACGACCCTGCCCCAGTCCCGGCCATGGTGCGGGCAGAGGGTGGGGTGCACTAACCGGGGGGTGCCACAGAGCACCTTGCCCCACTCCTGCCCCTGACGGTGGGCACGGTTACCCACAAAGCCGGGATGGAGGCAGTGCCCTGCAAAAGCAGGACCCACCTCCCCGGCTTTCATTTATTCTGCCTGAGACTGATGATTTCCAGCTGTAGTTTTGAGTGCTCAGGGGCTGGGTCCTGCCTGTGGGACCACTCTCTGGAAGGGGCACCCTTTCCCAGAGCCCCATTTTGCCCCAGAGCACTTCCCTGTGGGGTGGCACAGGGGGTCTCCTGCCCACCCAAGTCTGGGACGAAGTCCCAGCCCGGGTCCAGCCGGAGCCTCGGGCCCGTGACAGCCCCGTGTCAGCACCTGCCCGCTGAGCCGGCCCAGATGCTGCAGGAATGCGGCTCTGCCACCACCCGATACTGCAGGAATGTGAATGCCCGGCGGGTGGGGAAGGGGCGGGCGGGGGCCCTTTTGCCTCTGCTGTCCCCCAGCCCCAGCACCCAGCAAGCAGCTGCCCATGCACCCGGTCTAGACAGGAGTCCCCCCCCTCTGGAACTGGAGTCCCCTCTGCAACCCTGGGATACGCTCCAAGTGCCTCAGCCCCCCGGGTTGCAAAGAGCCACCTTTTGTCACCTCTCCTATTGCCTTGGGCTGGGAAATGCATGATTTGGGTGACTCGGGGGCAAATCCAGTGGGGCTGTGCTGCTCCGAATGAGGGTGATGCTCCTGAAGCAGGGCAGGGGGTCCACGATGGGGATTTGGCTCCAGGTGTGGGTCCCTCCTGGCTGGGGCTCCTCACTGGTTGATCTCTTTGGTGAAGCCCGAGCCTCCACTCTAGTCTGTGTGTACATCCCCCCAGGCTGATGGTCCCCACTGCTGCTCCAGCCAGCTGCCTGCCGTGACCCTGGCAGCTGGAGATGGAGGGGTTCGGGGGAGCCCCCAGGTTCCTGGCCTATCCACGCGCCTTCACGGTCCAAAGCGGCACCGATGCGGTCCTGAGCTGCCAGATCATGGGTGATCCCCAGCCAAGCATCCTCTGGGAAAAGGACAAGAACACCATCGAGCCCTCGGGCCGTTTTCACATGGAGTCCAAAGGGGACCTGTACAGCCTGCTGGTGTCCTGTGCCACCCCCAAGGACAGTGGACTCTACGTCTGCAGGGCCAAGAATAGCGTTGGCGAGACTTACGCTGCCACCATGCTCAGGGTGGAGCCAGCGGAGCGGCGAGAGGAGGAGGGATGCTCAGGCAGTGTCGCACCTGCCTTCCTCATTGCCCCCTCGTCCCTGCGGGTGTGCCGGGGGGAGGATGTGATGTTCACCTGCAGGGTGTCTGGGCAGCCCTGCCCTGTGCTGGAGTGGGAGAAGGACGGGCACAAGCTCTCCGAACTCTTTGAGAGCAGCCATTTTGCAGTGGGGCAGAAACCAGAGGACTGGCACTTCCTGAAGCTGTTCGGTGCCCGGCCCCAGGATGGAGGAGTGTACGTCTGCCGGGCACGCAGCGGCTCCCAGGAGGCCCTGGCTGCTGCCGTGCTCCTGGTTGAGCCCCGGGCGCTGCCGGACGGGCTCCCCAATGGCTGCCCCCCGGCCGATGGTGCCGAGGCTCTGGCGGAGCGGCAGCGGTGGCGGCGCCACGCAGCGGCACGGCGCCTGGCACCGGACACCTGGGTGCCCAATGGAGTAGTGCCAGCCAGGGTGCCAGGGGCCAAGGCATTTGCCGTGAGCGCAGGGAAGCACGCCAAGTTTCGCTGTTACGTTACTGGCAAGCCCAAGCCAGAGATCATCTGGCAGAAAGATGGTGAGCCCCTTGCCCCCGGCCGCAGGCATCTCATCTACGAGGACCGGGAGGGCTACTTCATCCTCAAGGTGCTGTACTGCAAACCTCAGGACCAGGGGCTGTACATGTGCACCGCTTCCAACACTGCTGGCCAGACCCTGAGCGCAGTGCAGCTCCAGGTGAAAGGTAGGAACACGCCCAAGGAGTGTCAGAGGTGGCCAGGCCCTGGGGGCTCAGGGAAGTTTGTTGGCAGGGGTGCGTCTGTGTGGGAGCCCAGCATCTCTGGGCTCCTTCCTGCCCCGTGCAGCCAGGATCACCCCAGGCTCCTCAGGAAAGAGCTGTGGGCTTCTCCAGGACCTGTGTCCTGCTCCATGTCCCTCTCCTTGCAAACAGAGGTGTGGCTTCTCGAGATGACTGCAGGCGTCCAGCCACAAACAGGGAAGAGGGAGAGTGCCTTGGTGACAAATTCCCCTGGAAGTGCTGAGTGATTTTGGCAGCCAGCCCTGCAGGGCACGGCTCCAACATTCTGCACTGGCAGCTGCCCAATTCCCCCCGAGCCATCCAGCCAGCTGGGGACAGCCCGTGGCCGGGGTTACCCAGAACTGGTGCAGCCGCTGCCTACACCCCACTGCTCCCCTCCACTGAGATGCCTGCTGCAGCATGCTGGCTTCCATGCTCCTGCATCCCTCAGAACTCCCTGCTGAGATACTGGAGGCATCCCTGCGTCTCCCCAGGTTATGCCCTGGTCCTCCCTGCTCTGGGGGATGTCCTTGTCAGGGCAGTGTCTGTCTCTTGCAAGCCAAATGAGAGGGCAAAGGAGGGACAAGGGTTTGCTGCTCTTTGTGAGCTGGCAGCACCTTGAAGGGCTGACAGTGGATGCTGTACCCCACATGCCCAAAGTTCCTGTCTCTTCTGTGGCAGAGCACCGGCTGCGGTTCCAGGTGCAGCTGGCAGACGTGGAGGTCGCAGAGCGGGAGGATGCAGTGCTGGAGTGCCAGGTGCCCTTGGAGACCATCCCCACCTCCTGGTACCTGGAGGACAGGGAGCTGCAGCCCAGCCACAAGTACGTGATGGAGGAGCAGGGGGTGGTGCGGCGCCTGACCATCCGCGATGCCCGCATCGACGACGACGGCATCTACCTCTGCCAGATGAAGGACAAAGGACGCAGCATCGCCGAGGTCTCTGTCCGAGGTGGGCTCAGGCCTCCGGGAGCACAGCTTTGCCTTCCTATTCCCCTCCTTGCCCGGGTCTCCACTGCCCCCTGCATTCGCCTTCCCTCCATTTGGCTGGTGACTGCTGCTGCCCCTCCTCCTCCTCCTCCTCTCCCACCTCAAAGAGCCCATCCTGTTCCCCAGAATTCCTCCCTCATATATCTCTTCCCATAGGGGTGATTGCGAAGCGGCTGCCACGGAAGCTGGATGTGATGGAGGGGGAGAATGCAGTTTTCTGTGTGGAGACACGGGATGTGGTGGAGGGCAGCTGCTGGAGCCGGGACGGGCTGCAGCTGCGGGAGTCACCCCGTACCGTGCTCAAGAGCTTCGGCAGGACACACCTCCTGGTGCTGGTGCATGTCACCCGCCAGGACGCGGGCATCATCTCCTTCACTGTCGGGGAGTCGCAGACATCCTCCCAGCTCCGAATCAAGTGTAAGCTCCAGCCTTGAAGGGGTCCTGTGTCCTCTCTCCTGCCTGTTCGAGAGGGATGATGCAGAGGGGGAGATGGAATAGGCACCCAATATGCTGGGGGTGTGATGCTGCAATGTGTTTTCTGGGGAGGGGGCCTTGAGCAGGGCTCCAGGATCCCAGCTTTACAGGCACTTAGAAACCCCTGTAGCCAGCTACATGGGAGCAAGACCGTCCTCTCCACCAGAGAGAGAATCCTCAAAGAAACAGGCTGTGTATCCCCACTTAGCCCTTCTGCCGTCCCACCTAGAGCCTCCCCAAGCAGGCAACCTGGGTTGTGACTTGCAGGTGTGAAGCACGACCCTCCGAGCGCACCGGTGGCAGCTGAGATGAGCGTGGTGGAGACCAACACGGCTCTGCTGACTTGGTGTCCCGCGCCCGATTCCCACCTCCGCCCCGCCAGCCACTACCTGCTGGAGCGGCGGGAGGCGGCGGGAGGGGAGTGGGTGCAGTGCCTTGCCACCGACCTGCCCAGCAGCGTGCGGGTGCTGGGCGACAGCGCGCCCCGCGAGGCCGACTACTGCTTCCGCATCTCTGCCGCCAACAAGCACGGCAGGAGCAGCCCCGTGGAGTTCCCGGGATCCGTGCATCTTGGTGAGGAGACAGGCAAAAGCTGGGATGTCGTGCCACAGTGTGCTGGCAGTCAGTGCCACTGGGGCTCAATACAACTGCGCTCCAGCCCCAGCAGCTCGTGTGGACAGGGGTCTGCAGGACGCGTGGGTGAGGGACGGTGAGGATGCGCAGTTCTCCCTGGAGCTGTCGGCTGTGGTGCATGGGTCCTGGTTCCTCAACGGTGCCAGGCTGCCTGAGGAGGAGGACACGGGCGGCCGGTGGAGTGTACAGCGCCATGGGATGGAGCACTCGCTGCTGATCCGAGGAGCACGGCTGGTTGACAGTGGGGCCCAGGTCACCTTTGTGTCCGGTGGTGTGCGGGACTCGGCTATCCTGCATGTGCAAGGTGATCAGGGCACTCACCCTGGGGTCCTACCAGGACCCCAGCAGCAGGGCCTGTCATGCTGGAGGATGCTTCTCACCGCTCCTCAATGTCTCTCAGCCCCACAGGTCCGCATCGCCCCAGTGTCTGAGGCTGAACGGCTCCGAAAAGTGCCAGCAGGAATGCCTGTGCTGCTGGAATGCCAGGTGTCCACCCCGGATGCCCCTGTCTGCTGGCTGAAGGATGGCAAGGCCGTGCCCCTGGATGACGTTATGGCAGTGCAGGCAGAAGGCTGCGTGCGGAGGCTGCTGCTCCGCTCAGCGTGTCCCTCAGACACTGGGGTGTACACCTGTGACACTGGGGATGATGCCGTGAGCTTCGTGGTAACCGTGACCGGTGAGCTGGGGACTGTGTGTGGGAGCCTGACCCCTACCTCCTGATAGTGCTCCTGCCCTGCTTCTTGCACCATCATGTGGCTGAAAGCTGCAGCCAGTCATGCTGAGGCCCACGTTATCCCTGGCAGAGGTGCCGGTCAGGATCATCAGCTCCAACGAGGAAGCTCCCCACACCTACATGGCCGGACAGCGTGTGGAGCTGTGGTGCCAGCTGTCCCGCCCAGCAGCCCCCGTGCGCTGGTACAAGGATGGAGAGGAGGTGGAGGTGGGCCAGAGCCTGGTGCTGGAGCAGGAGGGGCCACGGTGCAAGCTGGTGCTGCCCTGCGCTCAGACACAGGACACAGGGGAGTTCGTCTGTGATGCTGGGGGGGACTCTGCCTTCTACACCATCACTGTGGCAGGTGAGTGTGATGCAGGAGGGCTGGTAGGGTCTCAGGGGGCTTTCTTTGCCGGTGCAGGATGCCACAACACATGTGCTGGTGTCAGTACTGCTGTCACCTGCTGCGATGGGATATTTGTCAGACTTGATCTTGCCAGGTGCTCACCAGCAGTTTGGTTGGTTGCTCTGCTGGGGTCCTTGTGGGACTCAGACCAGCTGCCAGAGGGAACAGCTCACTCAGCCTGTCTGAAACACTAGAGCACACGAGAGCACCCAGGGTGTTTGCCGGACTTCTGCCACGGCTAGTAACCAAGCCCTCCTCCAAGGTCCTAAAAATAGTGGGCCTGGCACCTGGCTTGGGGTGACTCATGGTTGGTCATTGCTCTGATGGACAGCGTTAATTGCTGACCTGAAAATGAGCAGTTGCCTGGAGACCGATGGCTGGGAGGTGTTTGCTGGATGGGAGCAGGGCTCAGCACCTGGGGCGGCTGCCCCGGCTGTGGAGCGGCTGCTGGCGTCACCGCCTGGCAGAGGATAATGAAAGCTGAAAGCAAACTAAAGGCTTCCCCTTGCTGGCCCCAAAACCCACATCCCACAACCACAGGAAGGCAAGCAGGGGCAGAGCTCAAGCCCAGTTGAAAGGTGATGTGACCACAGTGGTAAAGCCTTGCTGTGATATTAACACACGGCAAAGGGCCAAAGTTGATGGCCAAGGATGTAGGAGTGAAGATAGGATGAGTGATAAGAGAAGCTGAAGAGTCAGTGGAGTGGTGACTGCTGGGAGGGTGAGGAAGGGAGGGGGTTCTAGTGAGATAAAGGTTAAATTGCCAGTGGGAAGGACAGGCAGCATGGGCTTTGGGAAGAGGCAGGAGTCATGTGCTGTGTGGGAGTGTGGGGCATGGAGAGCTCTGCTTCCCTAGGCTGGGAGAGGGAACACCATCTGCTGAAGCTCAGCCTTTTGGCTGAGCAGCTTTGCATAACTTTGACAGAAGGGTCTTAGGGAGGCTGTCTTGGTTCAATCTGGATTTGGACATCAATGTCACCGCAGGGCTGGGGGTGGGTGCCTGGAGGCTCAGGCTGACACCTCTCTGGCACAAGTGCCAGGCTGGCTGCTGCAGTCAAGCACTGCTGTGGCACGCTTGGGTTTCCCTGAGGCATCTCAGCTATCGGGCTGTTATGGCATGTAGCCTGCCTGCCTCAAGCTCGGCCATCCCCAGCATCCTCTGGGTTTTCTGTCAGCTGTTGAGCACTGGAGCTCCCTCAGAACTAGCTAGAGGCTGAGGGCAGAGCGATGCTGCCCGCTGAGGGCTGGCACATTATCCATCCCCTCACTTCAGCGCTGCTCAACATCTCCAGCTGCACTCCAGCAATGTGATTGCTTTTAGCAGGTCCAGGGAGAGAGGCGGCCGGCAGTGCTTTGATCAGGGGCTGGGCGGATGCAGGCTCAGCGTGCTGCAGGTTAATCGCTGCGAAGCGGCGCCGCACCGCTCCGCACGCTGCGGGGCAGCGCTGTGCTGCTGAGCCTGGCAGCGCAGCTGGGAGCTGTCTGGGAAGCTTCCACCCGGACACCCAGCACGGAGCAGATGAGGGCTGTGGAAGGGCAGGTTGTGCTTGCCCACCATTGTGGCCCAGAGCTGGCCGTGCCTTGTGTCCGCATGGAGCCGTGGGCTCTGTGAGCACCAGAGTCCAGGCCAGCTACGGCTGGCTGCAGTGCGCACGGCCAGGCAGGCAGTGCTGGCTCTAGGTGGCATCCTGAACTTTCCCAGGAGAGAGGAGGGCTGGTCAGATAAAATTTGTGCTGGGAGCCCCTCTGTTTTTAGAGCTCTGACTCAATTCAGAGGGGTGGTGTGAGCAGTGGCACACATTTTATATAGCAAATTAATGGTGATTTTAGTGATGACTGCAATCTGGAATCGGGTCCTGGGTCCTGGTAAGCTGGAGGGACGGGGCTGCTGGCTGCAAGCAAACCACATTCCTGTGCCACAGTAAAAGCAAATGTCAAGGCTGAGCCAGGACAGAAGCACTGGTTGGCACTTGAATGGGGCAATAGGCAGAGGGGAGGGCAGCCCCTGGAAGAGCAGCTGCAGGGGCTGCTGCTGGCACCACAGACAGTGGTTATCAGTGCTGGGGCTTGTCTATATGCATCCTCCCTCCACAACCTTCAGCTCCACCACAGGGCAAAGCAGGGCAGGTACTGTGGGAGCAAGGGCACTGCAGCAATTTACAGCCAGTTCAAAGCCTGGTGCTCCTCCTGGTTGTAGTGTGTGAGGAGAAGAGGGAGACCCAGGCACGATGGTCCAGAAGGTTGTGCTGTGTAGAATGTAGGTGATTGGTGTCTTCCGACCTTAAAGCCAACAAGTGGTGAAGCCATCACTCCACACAGGGCTGTGATGGCCACCATCACTGGCTCTGCTCCTTATGTCCTGGCTGAGCCCCATCTCTCTCCGTGACAGAGGAGCCGGTGAGGATTGTCAGCTCCAACGAGGGGGCCTCCCACGCCTACGTGGCCGGACAGCGTGTGGAGCTGTGGTGCCAGCTGTCCCGCCCGGCAGCCCCCGTGCACTGGTACAAGGACGGGGAGGAGGTGGAGGCAGGTGAGAGCCTGGTGCTGGAGCAGGAGGGGCTGCAGTGCCGCCTGGTGCTGCCCTGCGCCCGGCCACAGGACACAGGGGAGTTCGTCTGTGACGCTGGTGGGGACTCTGTCTTCTACACAGTCACCGTGGCAGGTGGGTACAACAGACACCTACATCCCTCTCCCCCTTCTCCCTCTGCCCCAGCTCCTTGCTCATGCTGTGGCTTCAGCACCTCAGCTGCCTCTCACCTCCTTGAGAGCAGTTCCTTGCCCGTGCCCCTGGGCTGGAAGGGGATGTGGGCAGGAGCATAAAAGCTGGTCTGTCTCCTCCCAGAGCTCTGTGTCACACTGCCCCCCTACACTCCAGAGCACAACCATCTGCCTGCCTCTGGGTGATGCCACCTCACACCCCAGCCCTGCTGTTCCCTCAGCTTGCAGCACTGCAGGGCTGGGATATCCATGGCCACTGCTGCCAGGGCAGGTAGGATGGGAGGCCAAGTGACACAAGGTCTTGGTCCTCTCAGCCCTGAAGGTCCGCCTCACCCCAGTGCTGGAGGCAGAGCAGCTCTGGGAGGTGTTAGCAGGGCTGCCCTTGGTCTAGGAGTGCCAGGTGTCCCCAGCAGATGCCCCTGTCCACTGGCTGAAGGACAGGGAGGCCATGGTCCCCATGCAGGTCCTGGCCATCTGCTCAGAGGGACGCTCACAGAGGCTGCAAATTGCTGCAGCTGCACTGCCTGACTCAGGGGGTACCTGTGCCATGCTGGGGACAATGCTGCCAGCTTTGGGGTGACCGTGAGCAGTGAGCTGCCCAGGGGATTCCTGTCCTCACGTGGGACTCACTCAGCAGCACAGCTGAGCCCTGCCATGTCCCCAGCAGAGGTACCAGTGAGGATTGTCAGTTCCAACAAGGAGGCTTCTCACTCCTACGTGGTCGGGCAGCGTGTGGAGCTGTGGTGCCAGCTGTCCCGCCCAGTGTCCCCGGTGCACTGGTACAAGGATGGCAAAGAAGTGGAGGTGGGCGAGAGCCTGGTGCTGGAGCAGGAAGGGCTGCAGTGCCGCCTGGTGCTGCCCTGTGCCCGGATACAAGACACAGGGGAGTTCCTCTGCAATGCCAGCGATGCATCTGTCTCCTACTCCATCTTGGTGGCAGGTTGGTGGCACAGCAGGGACATCCTGGAAAGGGTAGCACTGCCCCATCTCTGTGCTCTGGGGTCCCCAGCCCTGCTCCCTGCCCTCAGCATTGTGGAGGAGGGCATGCAGTTCCATCTCTGTGCCTGCTGCCCCTGCCCTGAGCAGTTCCAAGCTCTTTGCTCTGGGGTGAGAGGATATAGCTTCTATACAGCCCCAAGGGGAGAGGGACACAGGTGACAGCAAATAGACACAGCAGAGCCAGGAGCAGAGCAGTTAGCAGGTCTCACACTCTTCCTCTACACCCCCAACAGAGCCACCAGTGAGGATCCTGCAGCCTCCACAGCGCTCCCTGGAGCTGCTGGTTCAGGCGCCGGGGTGTGTGGAACTGCGGTGCGAGCTCTCCGTGCCGGATGCTCCGGTGCACTGGTTCAAGGACGGCTTGGAGGTGGACGAGACTGACAACCTGCAGCTGCTGGTGGAAGGGGCCTGGCGCTGCCTCTTCATCCCCAGGAGCAGTGCAGAGGATGCAGGCGAGTACATCTGCGAGACCAAGGACGAGGCCGTCTCCTTCGATGTCAAGGTGTCAGGTCAGTGCTGATGTGGCTCTGGCCACGGTGGGTGCCCATCCTCTGGGTCACCCAGCACAGAGGCTTACCCGGGGCTGGCAGCAGAGGGGTGCCCAGGGCTGTGCTGTCCCTGGGCTGCTTTGTATCACAGATGTGCCATGCTTGCAGAGCCCCCGGTGAGGATCCTGCAGCCCTGCAGACCTGTCCCTGTCATGACGGTGTCCCCGGGGGAGACGGTGACACTGTGCTGTGAGCTGTCCCATGCGGATACACCTGTGTGCTGGGCAAAGGAGGGTGTCAGGCTCGAGGCTGGGGGCGGCCTGGTCCTGGAGGAGGAGGGTGTCCATCGCCGGCTGCTCATCCCCGCTGCCCAAGCTGAGCACTCTGGAAAATACACCTGTGACACCGCCAATGACACAGTGACTTTCACCATCCAAGTGTTGGGTGAGCATGAGGGTAGGGAAGAGCCTGGTGTGGGCTGCTGGATGCACAAACCCCAGAGACCTCAGCTCTGTTGGTGCTGGATGCTGCAGATCCGCTGGTCAGGATCCTGGAGAAGGATGTCCTGCCTACCCACCGGCGTTGCCAGGCCATGGAGGACCTGGTGCTGGAGGTGCAGCTCTCACACACCCACGGGGAGGTGAAGTGGTACAAGGACGGGGAGAAGCTGCAGGACACGGGGCGTGTGCGGCTGGAGGAGGACGGGGTGCGCCGATCCCTCGTGATCCTGGGTGCTGCGGGCAAGGATGCTGGGGAGTATCTCTGTGACACTGGTGATGACAGCATCGTCTTCTTCATCACTGTAGAAGGTGAGCAGGAGCTCCTGGTGGGGATGGTGGGGGGAACAGGAGGGAGGTGGGTCTGTGGCTGCTGCCGGGGTGGTGTGAGGCTGGGCTGGGTGGCAGTGAGCACAGGGAGGCTGGTGGGGGGCACATGGGGAGTGAGCTGTATCTGTGTGGTGGCCCTGTGGAAACCCCTGCGCTGCTCAGCTGCAGCCAGAGGAGTCTGGACAGGGTCTGGCTATTGTGCCACCCAGCACAGGCTGCTGTTGTGACAGCCCATCTCTCCAGCCCCAGAGCCCCCGGTGACCATTGTGGGCAGCACGGGTGCCGTGGCACATCGCTGCCTGGTGGCTGGGGAAGACCTGGTGCTGGCTTGTGAGCTCTCTCGACCCGACGCTGTTGTGCGCTGGCTCCGGAATGGCCAGGAGGTGCACCCGGGTGAGCGGGTGCAGCTGGAGGCCCGCGGGGTGCTGCGGCAGCTCACCATCACCGGGGCACAGCCCAGCGACGCGGGGTGCTACATCTGTGACGCTGCCAGCGACCGCATGGTGACAAACGTGGAGGTGTCGGGTGAGCTGGCTCAGAACCCAGGGACCCCCAGAATGGTGGGGTTGTGCCACAGACACAAGGGGAGGGGAAGCCTCTGTGGCCCTGCTGATGCAGAGGCTGGGGTGGCAGCATGGCAGGGAAGGGTGGGAGCCCTGTCCCCAACCCTCCAGGAGCCGTTGGTTAGAAAGAGACACGTCAGGGTCGTGGCGAGACATGTCCCTGCTGCCTCCCCCAGCCAGGGGCTGTTTAAATTTAGCCTTGGCTGGCTCCCAGGCGCCGCTCCTCCTGCTTCGGCTGCCAAAGGCTGAGCTCAGCCTGGACCCTTATCAGCTGGAGATGGAGGGCTGTGCAGGGTGGGAGGGGGCCTGTTGCAGGCGGGTGTCCTAGCTCCCCAGCAAGGTGTTCTGGGTGGGGGGTACAATGGAATTAATGGTCTCAACATGGCAGCTGTGCTGCCTGTACGGGGAGTGATGTGGGAGTGATGGGCTCTGCTGCTGTCCCTTCCCTGAGGGAACCCTGAGCTGCCAGACCTCTCCGTCCTGCATGCCTGCCCCTTGGGACCCCTGTCTAGTCCCACCATGACCCCCAGCCAGCCCCACAGCCCTTCTGCCCCACACTGAGGGATCACCTCTCCTCTTGAAGCAGTCCTATCCCTGCACTGCTCCACACTGTGGGGACATCCCTGAACCCAGTCTTGTCCCCTGCACCCCTCAGCCCGGCCTGTGTGCATTGTCAACAAGGAGGAGGCGCAGAGCCCGCTGGAGGTGCAGGAGGGGGACAGTGTGACACTGGTGGCTCGGCTGTCCCCGGAGACAGCCGCAGTGCAGTGGCAGAAGGATGGACAGACGCTGTGCTCAGGTGGGCGGCTGCTGGTGTGCAGCGAGGGTCCCACACGCAGCCTCACCATCAAGCAAGCGGAGCTGGGTGACGGTGGCATCTTCCTCTGCGACGCGGGTGATGATGAGGTGCATTTCACACTGCGTGTGAAAGGTGAGCCTGGAGGTGTCTCTCGCCCATGCCAGGGGCAGGAGCAGTCTCATCCTGCCTCACGCCGGGATGCTTGGCATCCCCATGCCACGCTGTGCCGCTGGCAGGGCCACAGCTGAGCGCAGTGCTCCTCCGGCAGAAGCACCCGTGCTGTTCGTGAACAAACGAGAGGAGCAGGAGAAGCTGCTGGTGCTGGAGGGCGGCAGTGCCGTGCTCTCTGCCGTCACCTCCACGGAGCGGTGCGATGTCACCTGGCTGGGCCCGCGGCAGGCGGCGGTGGCCGGGGAGCGCTGCGAGCTGCGCCGGGACGGCCGCGTGCACAGCCTCATCATCCACAACGTGGCCATGGAGGACGCGGGCACCTACACCTGCCTCTCACCGCACGACCAGATGCAGTTCGACGTGACCGTCCGAGGTGGGGGCAGGGGGGCAGTGGTGGTGCCCGGGGATCCCCCTGCGGTGCCAGCGGGTGCTGATTTGGGGCGTTTGACTGTGCAGAGCTGCGGGTGAAGTTCCTGCGCGGGCTGTCGGACGTGCGGGCGCGGCAGGGCGAGCGGGTGGTGCTGTGGTGCGAGCTCTGCAAGGCGCGGGGCGACGTGGTGTGGCGGAAGGACGGGCGGGTGCTGGCGCCTGGCCCCCGCCGGCAGATGACGGCAGAGGGACGGGAGCGGTCGCTGGTGCTGAGCCGCGTGGAGCCCGGGGATGCCGGCGAGTACTGCTGCGAGTCCAACGACGACCAGACCCTGGCGACGCTGACGGTGCAGGGTGAGCCCAAGGCATCCTCACCACCTGGGGGACGCCTATTCCATGGGGGTGGTGGGGATGCTGGCACAGCGATGTCAGGATTGCAGAAATGCTCAGCGTCTCCACATGACGGGGGGCCCCTTATGCTGTGCCCTGACAACCTGGCTGTAGTCCCCAGGGTGGTGGAGATCATCATGGAGCTGCAGAACCTGACAGTGCTGGAGGGTGAGGATGCCACCTTCAAGTGTCTGGTATCCCCCGAAGATGTGGCTGTGACATGGCAGCTGAATGGCCAGCCCGTGGTCCCCAGTGAGCGTCTGCTGGTGACAAGGAGCGGGCTGTGCCACAGCCTCACCCTCCGGCAGTGCCAGACAGGTGATGCAGGCACTGTGACAGCCAATGCCGAGGGGCTGGTGAGCACAGCTCGGCTGAGTGTGCAAGGTGAGGGGGAAGGACAAAGCTGGGGCTCAGCCCAGGACACAGCCCTGGGGCCGGCTGCTGACCCAGCACACGGGCCATGCAGAGGCACAGGTGCTGTTTGTGCGGAAGCTGCAGGATGTGGTGGCAGAGGAGCAGGGGGACGTGTGCCTGGAGGTGGAGGTGAGCCACGAGGCTGCCGAGGTGCAGTGGCTGAAGCAGGGCATCCTCCTTCAGCCGGGCAGCAAGTACCAGCTGCAGGAGTCGGGATGCCGGCGCACCCTCACCATCTGCTGCCTTGGCCCTGCTGACCGCGGCACCTACCGCTGCGAGAGCCTGCACGACCGCACGCAGGCCAAGCTCCACGTGGAGCGTGAGTACCGGGCTGGGGATGGGGATGGAAGGCAACGGGGCCGGGGACAGGGAGGGCACCCAACTGCTGCAATGGGAGCATGTGGGCAGAGCTGGTACTTGGCTGGAAGGGGTGCTCGGAGAGGTGGGTGTATGGGCAGGGGTGGGAATCCTGTAGAGACAACTGGATTTAGATAATCACTCCAGCAAGCACAGATTGGGAAGCCGGGGTTCTGCAGTGGAGCAGACACCTACTCACAGACATGGGTCCCTCACAGCCCGGAAGGTGTCGATCCGGACACCGCTGACAGATGTGGAGACCTTTGAGAAGGAGACAGCCACCTTTCACCTGGAACTGTCTCACCCTGGCGTGGCCGGGGTGTGGACACGGGACGGCATCCGGGTGAAGCCCAGCAGTACGTGCCGGATCAGTGCCACAGGCTGTGGGCACAGCCTGACACTGGAGAGGCTCGCACTGGAAGACTCAGGCACCGTCACCTTCACTGCTGACACTCTGCGCTGCAGTGCCCACCTGCGTGTGCGGGGTACGGTCCCTGGGGCAGGCTGGGGGTGGGTGGCACTGGCGCTGTCTGACCTGCTGCTGTTCTGCACTGGGAGACACTGAGGCTGAGCTGGGCCGCACTGGGCACATGCATTCCCCTGTCCTCAGCAGGGGTGATAGAGTGCTGGCAAGTGTCCCCGTGTCCTCAGGGAAAAGATGTGAACTGAGCAGTGGGGACACCCAGCCAGGGTCTGGGTCCAGAGCCAGCTGGAACATCACTGATGAGTGCTTGCCCATGGGTGGTGCCACTCTCACCCCATGCTGAAATGCCACAGCCACAGCTACTCTTCCCTGCAGCCCCAAATCCATGCCTTTGTCCAATCAAGCCTTCCTGTCCTGTGTCCTGCCTCCTCAGAGCCTCCAGTCACCATGGTGAGGGTCCCACGAGACCTGGGGGTCCCAGAGACGGGGGTCGCCAGCTTTGAGTGTGAGCTGTCTCGCCCCAATGCAGAGGTGAAATGGTTCAAGGTGAGGGCTCACCCTTGCCCCCTCCACCAGCACCTGGCCATGTCCTCCTCCTTGTTTTGTCCCCTGGCCGCTGCCGTCCCTGCCAGGGCTGCAGGCAGAGCAGAGGGGCCAAAGCAGTGGGGTGCTGCCTGTTTGCTTCCGTGCAGGACGGGCAGGAGCTGCGGCCAGGGCCCAACTGCCGCATCTACTCGGCAGGACGGCGCCGCATCCTGCAGCTGAGCCGCTGCGAGCTGAGCGACGCCGGCAGCTACACCTGCGATGTGGGTGACTGCCAGGCCTCCGCCACGCTGCACGTACAGGGTACGGTCACCCAGCTCCCAGCAGGGTGTACACCCCCAAACCCTGCGCTGCCTGCTCCCCCCATCCTTGGCTGCCCTGGCACCCTGTCCATTACTTGCAGAGCGCCAGGTCCACATTGTGCAGGAGCTGCAGGACGTCCAGGTCCGGGAAGGTGACAATGCAGTCTTCACCTGCGAGGTGTCACACGGGGATGTGAAGGGCGAATGGTTTCGGGATGGGGAGAAGATCAAGGTCTCCAGCACAGTGAAGATACGGCAAGAAGGTGGGGATGCAGGTGGCTCCACACCCGGTTTGGGGCTGGGATAGGGCAAATTCAAGCAAGGGGAGTTTGTGTAGACAAAGGCAGGTCCCTGTCCCCCTGCTTCCTATGGGTGTGCATTGCTGTCGCCTTGAGCCAGCCTCTCCCTCCCCAGGGACCCGGCATTTCCTGCTGTTCTGTGGTGTGCGCCCTGAGGACCAGGGACTCATCCGCTTCACAGCCAGGACAGTCACCTCGGAGGCCAGTCTGCAGGTGGAAGGTACCAGTGCAGGCTGCAAGGTCTGGCTGGGCTCCAGCACCAGGGCTGGGGTGTACCAGGTCAGCCTGCGGTGTGCCCATGGAAGCCTGCTCACCCCATAGTGCTGACACCCTGTCCCCACCTCCAGCACTGCCAATCCGGATTGTGAAGCCACTGAGGGACAAGACGGTGCTGGCGAGGCACAAGGCAACACTGGAGTGCACCGTGTCCCACGCCCGGGGCCGCGTGCGCTGGCTCCGTGGGGACACCGAGATCTTTGCCGGTGACAAGTATGAGATCTGCAACCTGGACTGCTACCGCACACTCATCATTCACCGTGTGGGCCCTGAGGACGAGGACTCGTACACCTGCGATGCCTTCGACGACCGCTCCACTGCCCGGCTCCTTGTGGAGGGTGAGTGGGCACCTAAGGGACACCCACTGACAGCTGCCAGTGCTGCTGTGCCTTGCAGTAAAGGGACACCAGAACCTGTGCCCCTGTCCCCCATTGCTTGCGAGAGTCTGAGTGCTGGGCTGGAGGCAGCAGGTTGATACAGGGCCAGGGGTCTGATCCTCCTTGTCTGGGATACAACTTTTGGGTGGCACAGCTGCTTTGGCAATGCCCCAGCTCACTCTGACTCCCATTGTTCCTACAGGGAGCTAGAAGCCCGGATGCGGTTCTCAGGGCCTGTACGCAGACTGACAGATGCCACTGCTGAGAGATGGGGTCATGCTCCCCCTGGCATACACAGACACATGGACACCATCCCCAGCCTGCTTCAGCCTCAGGGCTCTGCATTAAACAGCCTTTTTTTTCTGACATGGCTTCTTCCACACCAGCAAGCTGGGGTCTCATTAAGAGAAAAGGTGGTGGCACCACTCTACATCCTGCTCAGCACCCCTGGAAGCCCGGCCCTCTGGGCCCCCCTCACCCCTGCCCCCCGCTCCCCACAGTCCTTGGCTTTGCACGCCAGACTCCGAAAGGCTCTTTACTGTGTGGCCGAGGCCTCAACAGCGTTTGGCACATTTACAAAAGAGACTGAAAAGGGGGATGGCAGCACAATGCTGCGGGAAGGGGGTGCCTGGCAGAAACATGCAGTTCCTGGGGCAGCGGGGCCAGCTGGGCTGGGCTGGGCTGGGGGGGCTCCCAAAGCCGAGGGCTCCCCGGTCCAGTCTCACCACCATCCTGCCTGCCTGGCCATGGGGAAATCCTGGCTCACTCCGTAATAAGTTAATACAAATCACAGCAAGAGAAATATATACAAGGCGTGAGCCTCTGCCCGCAGCAGTGCTCTGGGCAGGGGCTCCTGCCCTGCCCTGCCCCAGGGTCCCCCGGCCACTATAAAAATCCAGTCGCCAGCAAAACAGCGACGGTCTCTGATGCTGCAGGGGTCCCCGCATCCCTGAGGCAGCCCAGCCTTTGCCCAAAGGCTGGAGCCAATGTCCTGTCTCCCATCAAAACATTTTGTGGGGGATGCACCCTGCCAGTGCAGCTCCCGCTGGACAGGCACCGATTGCCAGCATCACCTTGGGAACCACCTGGCCGTGGCAGTCTCTGCCCCAGGACCACCCCGGTCCAGCTTGGGAAAAAGGAGTGGCAAGCCGCTCTGGGGTGTAGGGAGGGTGGCTAGGGCAGGAGGATCTTCTGAGGAGGCAGGTTTTGGGAAGCACTGCCTGGGAGCTGCTCTTGGGGACAGGGTGGGACAGGGCTCACATGCTCAGGGGATTCCCTGCTGGGAAAAGGGCCATGGGACCTACTCTTTGAGGAAGGGACATAGGGGACAGGCACTTGGGGAGTTGCTGGGGATGCAATGGGGTGGGGAGCTGCTCCTGGGAAGGGGAGGGACTCAAATATGGGGAAACGTTAAGATGCAGGATGAGCGTGCCCGGGCCATAGGGTAATGCACAGCAGTGGGGGCTCGGGGACCCACCACCCCAGCAGAGCCACTTGCACTGCATGTCCATGGGTTCTGGTCCTTGGGCTGAGTCCCTGCCAAAGGGCTTCCCCAGCACCTTTGGGCCCCACTGGCAGCTGGGGCTTCCCCAGACAAGTCCCATGTGTCTCCAAGAAGGGTTTCCATCTGCAGCCCCAAGCTGCATGTGGCCACTTGGGCCCGAGGACAAAGCCCTGCCTGTCTCAGGGGTTCTGTCAGAGCAGGCTGGGGTGCTGGTGTTGCTCGAGGTCACTGGGTTGGCTTATACCCTCACAGCAGGGCCAGAGCCCGAGGTGAGGGGCACGGTGGAGCTGCAGTCATAGTCCAGGTCCACCACGGCATGGGAGCTGGCGATGAGGCTGTTCAGCGACGGTCCTGTCTGCCGCTCTCGGAAACTCTGGATGTAGCTCTGTGACAGAGGAACAGAAAGTGAGGGGGGCTCTGCTCCTGAACCACTCCACCCCATCCTAAATGCTGCTGCAGCCTCTCCCTGCCCTCCCCTCCCCAAAAACAGCCCAGTGAAATTCCCAGCACTCAGGCCCTCCACTAGCTGGCCACAGCAGGGAGCACAGCCTTATCCATCCCCTAGGCATTTTGCACCTTGCCTACTGCTTGTTTCTGCTATGCCAACAGTGCTCTTGGCCAGCAGTTTCCATCTGCTTGCAAAGGCTGAAGTGCTCCGTGGTAGGAATGGCCCATTCCAACCTGAGCTGCTCAGTCCCTGGGACACCCCAATCTCATCCCTCGAGAAGCTCGGATGTTAGCTGGTGCCTGGGCACCTCTCCATGCCCCAGCCCCCCGATGTGAAGGAATGAGTGTGGAGACTGGGGGAGATCTCTACCCTGGCTGCGGGACTCACGGGGGAGAGCACGTCCCCATCAAAGCGGCGCACAGGGTTGGGCTTGCGGCGGTAAGCAGGCTCGGGGGGGTGGGCCTTGTGCTGGTGGGGTGGGGGGTGGTGGGGTCTCCGCTTCTTCTTCTTCTCCTTTCGGTCCTCCCGCTGCTTGATGCGCATCAGCTGCACGCGGCGCTGCTGCCGGCTGATGATCACTGTGGAGCAAAGTGGCCTGTGAGCACTGGGGAGCACATCCAAACGATCCCCACAGCCAAACCAGCACCAACTTCGTGCAACCAGGTCTCCCTTGGGTACTGTGCCATCACAGAGTCCTGAACCCCGCATCTGATCTTGTGAGCCCCATGCTGGAAACATCCACCCCAGTCCCCAGGTTCCCAGTTCCTACACTCACCCTGTGCCATGCCCATCTGCCCCAGTACCCACACACCTTCTGTATGGGAGTAGCCTTCAGCCGTGACCTTCCACTGGACCAGGACACCCAGTGTGGTGAGGAGCGGCCAGATGCCCAGGATGACCCAGCTGTACCAGCACACGGGGCGAGCAGGGGCCACCTTGATGCGCTCATAGATGTACTGCACCAGGAGGAAGAGCTCGATGAAGTAGTCGACAGTGACGGTCATGATGGCGCTGCCGAAGACGGCGGTGGAGAGGGTGGTGAAGAAGCGCTGCCACTGCAGTGTGAGGACAGCAAAGAGCATGCCCACACCCAAGAGCAGTGCGATGGGGATCCACACCGTTGGTGGGTGGTAGAATTGCTCCATCACCACCAGCGTGGCCACCGCCAGCAGCAGCCCCAGGAGCAGCCCCACCATGAAGAGGCCAACGCTGCGCACCAGCATGGTGACCAGCCCACACAAGACCCCAATGCCCAACCCAATGCCCACTGAGGCCTCCACGCTCAACTGTGTGTCCAGCACCCGCTCCTTGTAGCACAGCATGAAGATGATGATAGAGCCGAACATCAGCCCCGTCAGGAACATGACAGCCTTGAAGCACCGGTAGCCTGTGGAGAGACCACCACAGTCAGGCAGGGGATGGCCAGCACCCCCAGCTCCCCTCTGCCCTCCTCCCCATTTGCCCCACCAGCAGCTGGGCTGGCCTGGCTCACCGAAGAAGCAGTAGATGATGCCAAAAAGGCAGCACATGGCGCACACCACTGAGGGCACCACCTGGTAGCGACGCTCAATTTCCTGCTGGCAGCTGTGCCCCCACTCCTGGCCTGGCTCGTGCGGCAGCAGCTTGAACCGCAGCGTCTGCACAGTTGCAGTCATGGCTCTGGAGACTCCTGGGAGAGGCATCAGAATCTCCACTCCTGCCTCATAGCCCGCCAGCAGAACTGTGTCCTGGCACCCGCCCCACCTGGCGTGAGAGAGAGACAAGGAGAATGGAGGAACTGGTGGCACACACCCAGCAGCCATCCCACCACTCACCACTGGCTACCAGAAACCCTGCTCTGTCTCCCCACTGTGTGGGTAGGAACGTAGGGAATGGGGGAACAGCCTCATCAGTGGGGGTGCAGACAGTCACCCAACCTGTGGCTGAAGGGATGTGCTGTCCCCAGAGAATCTGCCTGTGTCCCTGGGAGCTTCGTGTCGCTTAATAATTTGTCTGTGACTTCAATTTCCTGCCCATGCCTCTCCAGCACCCTTTCCCTGTTCGATTACCAGGAGACTTCCACAACTTGGTATTTTCTGCCTGTGAAGTAATTATGCTCAGTAATTAAGTCACCCCTCAGTCTTCTATTTTTATAGGCTAAACAGATTGAGCTCTTTAAGCTTGTACTCCAAGGCATTTTCTCCAATCCTCTAATCATATTTCTGGCTATTTTTCATCTCTGCTCCAGCTCCCACTGTCCTTGTAAAAACAAATTGGGCCTTCATGCTAGATCCAGCCCTCCCATGCCAATCCATGGGGCTGGAAGGGCACCAGCTGTAGCTGGCACTGCCCCTTACCCAGGGCTCACCCATAACACTGTGGCTATGCCGGGATGCTGAGCAAACAGTTACCGGGCCCCCTGCAGCGCCTACACAGATGGAGGGGTCATAATCCCCTGCAAAGACTGATCCAGCTTCAGTTTAAACCTAATTACAGCGTCCGTCTGCCTGCTCCCACCTGGAGCCAGTTCCATCACCCCTTCACTCCCCTAGTCCCTTTATAGGCTCAGTTGGTTTAGAATGGGTTTATTGTCACAAATTGTCCCCAGGCCAACATCACTCCTTTCAAGTGCCAAGTTTATGCGGCCAGTTCAGGACAGCTCACAAAAACAGCGCTCTGGGAAGGAGCTGGGAAGAGGGCAAAGGCTGCAGGCATGGCTTCCTGTTGCCCAGCATCTTGCTGCTGCCCAGACGGGCTCCACTGGCATCTCATCCCTTGCCGACAACCTCCTTCCTCCCTTTGGCTGGGGAAGGCAACACCAGCCCCGGCAAATCCCCGTGGGGAAGCCGAGCAGAGCCTAATCCCAAGGAAGCAGGCGGGCAGGGAGTGGGCAGCCAAGCGTCGGGCCCCTTGTCGAGCCCGCGGGGGGACGCTAAGCAGGATTGGACTTTACCCGCAGAGCCCAGGCGCGACGTTCGGGCCCTGCTGGGGATGGGCGATGGTGTGAGGAGTGCGAGCAGGGCTCTGCCGGCCCGGGGCACCGGGGATGCGGCATGGCAGGGCTGGCGGGGCGGTGCGGGGATGGCACGGGCCGGCACGGGCTGCGGGGCCGGGCTGCGGGCAGCGGTGCGGGCGGCTCGCGGCGCCCATTGGCGCGGGCACTGTTGCTAGGGGAGCCCAGCGCCTGCTCATTGGCGCCGGGACTTACCCACCTGCTGCCGCCCGCCCCGGGCCCCCGAGCCCCCTCCCTTCCCCGCAGGCCACGGCGCGGCGGGGGCCGGGAGCAGCGCCCGGGGCTCAGCCCCGCCGCGGCGCCCCCATCGCCGTCCCCCGGCCGGGCCCCGCTGCACCCGCCGGGCCGCCGGGCCCCGGGCCGGGCGCGGCGTTGCCGAGCGACGGCCGCAAAGGCCGCCGGGGCGCGGGGCCGCTCCGCCCCTCTCTTTGTTCGGGGCGGGGGTCCCGGGGGCGCTACGGCGGGTTCCCCGCACGCCCATCCTGGGCTCCGCGCTCGCTCCGCCGGACGACGGAAGGATCGGGAACCCGGTGCCCCAGCCCATCCCCCGAGGGGTCCGGCGCGTCACCCGCCGGCCGGATCCCCTCGTGCTGCCCCCCCTCTGCCGCTCCGCCCGCTCCCACCTGCGCTCCCGGCGCGGCAGCGGCGGCGGCCCCGCGGCGCCCGGCGCTCCCGGCGCTCCCGGCGCTCCCGGCCGCGGATCCCGCGCATGGTGGCGGCGCGGCCGCCGCGCGGTGCTGAGCGGACAGCTCCGCTGACGTCACCGCGCCGTCACCGCGCGCCGGCGGCGGGGCCTCGGTGGCAGGGGCGGGGCCTCTGCAGAGGGCGGGGCTGAGGTGGGGTAAATTGGGGGTGCACCGGGGTGCGCACTGGGGGTACATCGGCGTGCCGTGCCCTGTGCCGGGGCCGCAGCCCAAGGCTGTGTGTGCAATGTGGCACAGCTCACCCCGCGCTGGGCCATGTGTGCCATGCGCTCGGCGTGCCTCGGCTGCGAGGGCTGCGAGCTCCTCGGCACTGTGTGCGGGGACAGAGCAGTACAGGGTGCCGGGGTGTGGATGTGAGAGCTGCAGGAAACTCTTGTGTCAGGTGGGACCTGACGGTGCAGTGTGCCAGGTCCATGGGGACTGGAGTGCCTGCGTTCAAGAGGGCCAAACACACATGTCAGGGGCATCTGGAGCAGCTGCCCGCCCGTCCCCCATGAGTGGATGGGAGATACGGCCATGGCAAGCAGGTGGGGGGACATGGTGCTCTGCAGAGGCAGAGCTCTCTGGAGCTGGCACCTCCTGGCTGTAGCGCCTAGGGACCCCCAGGAAATCCTGGCACACAGAAGACTGTTGGCAGCAGCTGCCGTTCCCTCTGGCAGCCCTTCTTAGCCCCTGCCAGCACTGGGGAGACAAAGGCGGGAGCTGCAGCTGGCAGGGGGCTGAGAAGGGGCTGCTGGAGGAACGGCACTGCTGCCTTCCCGCTGCTTCCCTACAGAATCTTCCAAGGCCGCCAGGCATGGGGGCCCTGGGCTCAGCCTCTGCCAGGCAAGCCATGGGGAGGTGTATGCTGTGCCCTCAGCTTCCCATGCATGTTTCCTGAGCTCAGACTCTGGAAACTTCATTACTTTCTCTGATCTGCACCTCTATCTGAATATAAGTTCAGATCAACAGGGTCATTTCAGAATGAAACCTCTCATCCCTCACATGAAATGATCTGGGTTTGTGTAAGGTGGCTAAAGTTAAATATTCCAACCCATACAGGAAATCAAATACACCTATTTCTAATGCATTTTGCTATGTACAGAAAACAGGATACTTTGTTTTTTTTATCATCACAGCTGTTTTTTGACCTCTGTGCATGGAAGATCTCTGTTCCTTTCTTAGCTCTGCATCTTTTTTTCCTTGTGGTATCTCCTCATCCCATCGCATTCTCTCTGATTCTACTTTTTATATGTTCTTCATTAAACTGCCATCCACGTGACTGCTTTTGCCTATTGCTTGTCTTGGTCTATTCAAGAGTAAAAAGGCCTATGAAAAGCAGCCGGGCTTGGATGATGGTCTAGCATCTCAGGGGGGTGGGATGCTGCCAACTGCTTTCCGATGAAAACAGGCTGCTTTGTTTTAGAAAATGAAAGAGATCCTGGAGCTGAGTGGGCCCCCACATGCCCTCAGTGCCCTGCAGTGCTCTGTGGCTGCTGGTGCTCCCCGGGGCAAGTGGGCTGTGTTTCATGGGGAGGGTGGAATGGTCTGTCCGCCCAGAGTAAATCCAGAGGCGCTCGAGAGTCCCAACAGCTGCAGGGCTGTGGAAGTGAAGCCATAGGCTGGGAACGGGTGGAAAGGCCAGGTCCTCCTTCTTGCCCTTATTCAGCAACGCCTGGCACCGAGCAGCCATGTAGGGCTGCTTGCCTTGCAGTTTCTGGGTCCAATCATTCCTGTGCTGGAAGCTCCATTTGTGCAGCAAACTCTGCCCTGATACGGTTCTTTCAGCTCTGTCTGCCCCAAGGCTCTTTCTGGCGGCCGGTGCAATGGTGCATCTATGCTGCAAGACAGCTCACAGTGGGATAGTGACCCGACCCCAGCTGGAGGAGCTCCCTTCGCTCCCGTTTGAAACACATGCATGATAAAGGCCTCTGCTGCTGGGATCTCCTGGTGTCTGCCTACCCTCCGACTGCCCCGGATGGTTTGGTTCTGTGCATCCAAAGGACTTCCAGCCGCCGTTTCTCTGCTGCTATGCCTGCTCCCCAAGCACCCGGCGTGCACAGCTGCCTCCTGCAGCCCGCAGCCCGCACTGTGCTGCTCTGACCTCAAACACTCAGCCCCCGCTAGTTCCCCCGACGACTCAGCCATCAGCCACACCGAGGGGACGACCCTCGGGCAGCGGTTTGGGGAACGTGGCGGTTCAAGACCACCATGAATTCACCAGCGCCGTGATTTGGGCTGCCCCGGGGAGGGGACACACGGCCCCGCGGAGGTCCTCGTGTCCCGGGCACAAAAGGCCGGGGAAATGCTCCCTGAAGCCCTCTCAGGTGCCGGTCCCCGGTGGATGCGCTTTCCGCTCTGTGAGCCGGCAGCCGGGGCCTGAGGCGCTGCCCTGCTGGTCCGCAGCACCGGCGGCGCTCCCGGCGGCCCAGCCGGCGGGGCGCGGGGTACGGGGTGCGGGGCACGGAGCAGCCCCGCGAGGTGCGGGTTACGGGATGCGGGGTGCGGGGCACGGAATGCGGGGTGCGGGGCACGGAATGCGGGGCACGGAGCAGTCCCGCGGGTTGCGGGGTGCGGGGTACGGGGTGCGGAGTGCGGGGCACGACACAGCTCCGCGCGCCGTCCCCGGCCCGGCCGCTGCCCCGCGGTCTCCCGGCAACCTGACCCGGCCCCCACGCTTGCCCCCTCCCCCGATTGGCCGCCCCGCCCCGTGACACGTCGGTCGCAGCGCGGGCCATTGGTCGGGGCGGGTGACGCGCGGCAGGGCGGGGCCCGCGGGTGACACGTCGGACGGCGGCGCCGCCAGCGGCAGCGGCAGCCGGCCCCGGTCGCGGTCCCGTCCCGGCCATGCGGCTGTCGCTGGTGTTGTCGGTGCTGCGGCCCGCCGGGCCCGTCGCCATCGGCGTCTCGCTGGGCTTCACCCTCAGCCTGCTCAGCGTCACTTGGGTGGAGGAGCCCTGCGGGCCGCCGCCGCGCCCCGCCACCCGCCCGCACCCCGACGGCGGCCCCGCGCCGCCCCCCGGCCCCGCCAACGGCAACGCGGCGCGCAGGCCCAACGCCGTGCCCGCCGCGCTGGGCGCTGACAGCTGGGAGCCCCGCGTCGTGCCCTACCGACCGCCCAGCCCCGGCAGGGCCGCCAAGAAGGCCGTCAGGTGCGGGGGGGCCGGGCCGGGCCGGGCTGGGGACTTGGGCCGCCGCTCACCGGGGTTTATCTGGGGGTAGCTGCGGGCGAGCTTCCGGTCCCTGCCTTGGCGGGGCTGGGGGCTTCAAAGGGGGCTTTACAGAAGGCTTGGCGGTAGGCTGTGCCCTCCTTTCAGCCATCTAGACGGGTTTTTCTCACTGAGAGTGCTTTTCCCAGCTGCTTCCTTTCCTCCCCTGTGCCCGACTTCACGTTGATCCCAGCCCGCAGCGAAGAGCCTCCCGCTCATGCTGGTGCCCGCTGTGCGAAGGTTGCCCGCTGCAGCACGTGCTGCCGGGCGCCCTGCGACGGTCCCCTCCTGTCTGAGCGGGGACCCTGCCGTGGTGGCACGTCCCCAGCCAGTGCTGCAAACGCCAGCCCGCTCCGGAGTCGGCTGCGGCCCCATCCCAGCGTCCCCTGGATGACAGGGAGCAGGCAGTGAAAGGGCCTCCTTGTCCTGGCGAGGTGGTGGGCGGATGAAGGGGGCTGAATGGGGCCACTGTGTACCAGGCGGCGGTGGGGGGACGTGCTGGGGGGGGTCGCTTCCTGCTACTGCGCCAGACTGGGAGAATTAAACCTGAAAGTCATTGTGAGTGCGACAGCTGGGGGCCGTGCTGGGGAGGGGGACACAAGCAGCCCCCTTGCCGGCTTCAGCAACCTGTGTGGGGCCTGGCTTCCCCCAGGAGGGCAGCACGGGCTCTCCTGCCGGCCTGCTTTAGAGTAGTATGACTGGCAGGGATGGCAGGAAGGTGCTTCCCAGTTCAGACCTGGGGCTGGGACTAGCCTCATGGTTGGGGTGTCTGGTGGGTCATGTCCCTGCTACAGCTGGGTTGTGCAGCCCTGTTTCCTGCTTTTAGCTGTGCTCAGCCTTTTGAGAGCATCTGTTTTGAGCTGGACTGGCCAGCTTATGGGAAAGTAGGGTCCCCTTTGATGTCATGTTGACGGGAGACCTCAGCAAAGTGCTCTGCAGTGCCTCTGAGACAGGTGTAGTGGCAGCTGGTGACACTGGGTGATGTCTTACATGCATGGCTGAAGCCTGGGAGCAGTTCCTGCAGAGGAACTGAGGTCGGTGCCATTGGTTACAGCAGGGAAGTGCAGGCTGGGGTGGGTTGCAGTGCCCTAGGGGCCATACATTGTCTTCTTCTTGCAGGACCCGGTACATTAGCACCGAGCTGGGGATGCGGCAGCGGCTTTTCGTGGGCGTGCTGACCTCCAAGAGCACGCTGAACACACTGGGGGTGGCTGTCAACCGCACGCTGGCCCACCGCCTGGAGCGCCTGGTGTACTTCACCGGCACGCGGGGCCGCAAGGTGCCCCACGGCATGACGGTGGTGACACACAGCGACGAGCGGCCCATCTGGAACATGTACCAGACCGTCAGGTACCTTCTGGACCACTACGTGAACGATTTCGACTGGTTCTTCCTGGTGCAGGACGATACCTACACGGAGGCGCACCGCATCAGCCGCCTGGTTGCCCACCTCAGCATTGACACCCACCTCTACCTGGGCCGTCCTGAGGAGTTCATCGGCGGGGACACTGAGGGACGTTATTGCTATGGAGGGTTTGGCTACTTGCTGTCCCGCCGCCTCCTCCTGCTCCTGCAGCAGCACCTGGAGAGCTGCCGCAATGACATCCTCAGTGCCCGGCCTGATGAGTGGCTGGGCCGCTGCATCATTGACTACACAGGTGTCAACTGTGTTGAGGAACACGAGGTAGGTCCTGAAACAGAGATGTCTGGATCCATTCCCAGTGTTCTCCCTCCTCCCTGTGGGCTCTCTCAACCCTGGGAGGACTAGCTGTTGCACCCTGACATCCTTTGAGCTTGCTGTGCTGGCATCTGGTGGTGTGGGAGTACAGGTTGGGGCTGGCTGTGACCTGTCTTTCCTGGCTGGCACAGGGTCTGCATTACCACTATTTTGAGCTGGGGAAGAACGCAGACCCCGAACGGGAGACCGACCTCCGCTTCCAGAGCGCCTTCACTGTCCACCCTGTGCTGGATCCCCTCCAGATGTACCGGCTGCACAAGTACTTTGCACAGGTGGAGCTCGAGAGAACCTACCAGGAGATCCAGCAGCTCCAGGTGAGACCTGGCTTGGCTGGGAGGGTCTTGGTTCTGTTTGTCACCCCTGTGGGCTTTCTGGGTGGTTCAGGGTGATGAGGACAGAAGGCTGCAGAGGTCTGTCACAAAGGCTGGGTGGGGTGGGGAGAAAACCTGAGGTGCTGGACAGGAGTCCGGTTGAGGGCAGAGTTGTTCTGGCACTGCTTTTTGAGCCAGCTCTGGCTAATCTCTGCGTATCAGAAATCAGTTTGAGTGCTGCCAGAGCTGGAAGACCTGCTTGTGCCTGCCTGGGCTCTCACTCGTCCATCTCTTGTCTTGCAGATGGAGATCCAGAATGCCAGCAGCCTGTCTGCGGATGGGGACCACATCGCCACATGGCCCATTGGCATCCCACCCCCATTCCAGCCCAAAACTCGCTTTGAGGTGCTGCGCTGGGACTACTTCACAGAGGAGCAGGTCTATGCCTGTGTGGATGGCTCCCCCAAGTGTGAGCTGCATGGTGCAGATCTGGCAGACGTGGCCGACGTGGTGGCCACGGCCATGGAGGAGCTGAACCGCAAGTACCAGCCGGTGCTTCACGTCCGCAAGCAGCAGCTGGTGAACGGCTACCGGCGCTTCGACCCCACACGTGGCATGGAGTACACGCTGGACCTTCAGGTGGAGGTGGTCACCCAGAAGGGACACAGCCGCTCCGTCACTAAGCGAGTGCACCTGGTGCGGCCCCTCAGCGAGGTGGAGATCATCCCCATGCCCTATGTGACAGAGGCCAGTCGCATCAATGTCATCCTGCCGCTGACGGCCCACGACCGGGATTACGCCGCCCGCTTTCTGGAGGCTTATGCAGCAGCCGCTTTTGAGAGCAGTGAGAATGCAGTGCTCACCTTCCTCTTCATCTATGACCCCTTTGAGGCCCAGCAGGTCACCCAGAATGACATCTTTGCCTCTGTGAAGTCCCAGATCACTGAGTACGAGCGCAAGTATGCAGAGGTAAAGATCCCCTGGATCAGTGTTAAGACAGACGCGCCCTCCCAAATCAAGGTCATGGACATTATCTCCAAGAAGCATCCTGTGGACACACTTTTCTTTGTGGCTGGCGTGGGGACAGAGATCACCATTGACTTCCTTAACCGCTGCCGGATGAACACCATAAACAACTGGCAGGTTTTCTTCCCCATCCACTTCCAGGGCTACAACCCAGCCATTGCTTACCACAACCAGGTGCCACCTACCACACTGGATCTGCTGAGGGACATGGGGCGCTTTGACCGTGACGTCTTCCACGAAGCCTGCTTCTACAACGCTGACTACATGGCAGCACGCACCCGCATGGCGGGGGACGTGCAGGAGAATGAGGACATCCTGGAGACCCTGGACATCTACGACATGTTCATCAAGTACTCCAACCTCCACGTCTTCCGGGCTGTGGAGCCTGCCCTGCTGCAGCGCTACCGGCACCAGGCCTGCAACCCCCGGCTCAGCGAGGACATCTACCACCGCTGTGTGCAAAGCAGCCTGGAGGGCGTAGGCTCTCGCTCCCAGCTGGCCATGGTCCTTTTTGAGCAGGAGCAGGGGAACAGCACCTGAACCCTGGATGGTGGAGGGGCTGGCCCTGCCATGTTATGCCTGCCTGCCCGCTCCCCTTCTTCTGCCCTAATCTGTCTTCCTTCTGCAGTGGCTGCAGAGAGTGCTGGTGTCCAAGCTCGTGACCTGCCCCGCTGGGGCTCCCCAGGCCGGGGTCTGCCAGCCCAGGGTGCCTGGGTCTTTCTCAAGCAGCCATGGCTGTGCAGACCCCGGGCAAGATGGGGTCAGAGTCACTGAGCTGCAAGCTGGAACACCTGGCTCCTCACTCAGAGCTGGTGGCTGCTGGCTCCATCTGTCTGTCCTGGCCCTGCTGCTGAGCACTGGGGAGATGGGCTACTGTGTCTCTTGCTGTCCCCCCTTAACTGGGGGAACGTAGAGCCCAAAGTCCCCCTTCTGCAGGGCTGTGGCTGCCACAGGGCCTGGAGTGATCCCTCGTAGTTCTCCCAGTGTCCTAGGATGAGAATGTGCTCCTTGCTCCTTTGGAGCATTGGCCTGGTTGTACAGGGAGGATCATGTCCCTGTGCCTGCCACAAGCTTGGACAGTGGAATGGGGCACATCCCATCCCAAAAGAGCAATAAGGATGTTGGTTTTGGGGTTTTGCCACTTGGCAATGAGCTGGAGTGCTCCTGGCCGGTTGGGGTGTGAGGAACTTGGGCCCCTGAGGCCGGTGGGTGTAGGGGGTGCCAGAGGGGATCCTGCTGATTTCATGTACCGTGAGCTGCTCCCCATGGGAACCATGACCCAGGCCGCTTCGGCCTTCGCAGTATTGATAGGACGTCGGAGGTCACAGCCCTCAGACGAGAGCCTCCTGACAGAGGTGGGATCCCTCCCCGCTGTGGGGCTGCCCTCAAGGTCGAGGGACATTGTGCCTGACACTGATGGGCATGGCAGAGGGTTTGGCTGTGCATCTCCTAAGGAGAAAGCGACTGAGGAGCCGCTCACTGCTCCTGGTTTGTATTTAATAGGGGGGAAAGGAGGGGGGATGGGGTGCATTTACACTAATAAAATGGAGAGATGTACTTGTGGGTCTGGCTGATTCTCTCATGAGGCAACTGTGGGTGTTGTGCTGGGATCTTTGTGGTGGTAGGTGCTGGCTGCTTGTATAAGTTCTGTCTGCAGCTGGCTGGACATATTCCTTACAGAGATGCCTCTTTCCCTGAGCACCTGCAACATCCTTTACCTGAGCAGGGAGATGCCTGCTTCTTAAGGAGGCTGTGGCTGCCCATTGCCTTATGGACAGGCTGGCAGATGTGCCAAGCAGACACTTGGAAATACCTGCTTGAACCCCTGCAGCTTGCAGCAGGAGTCCTGCGCTTCCTCTGATGCTCACAATCTCTGGGGCTGTCCTGCTGGAGCTGCATGTTGCCATCACTGGTGGTGTGGCAGAATGCTGAGCCCCTTGACATGGGAAGTCCAGTGCAGTGTCCAGTGCCCTGTCTTTCCTGTAAACTTGTGGTCCCACTGACCAGTCCTCCTCAGCCCTGTGTGTGGGTGGAAAAGCACCAGTAAAGGGCTGGTGGAGCTGTGTGTCCTCCCACATCTGCTATCTCTGTAACAGCCTTCATGGTCTGTATGTGAGTCATGAGGGACTCCTGGCCCATGTCAGAGCAGACTGAGCTGGCTGCTCAAGTGAGGTGAACTCTGCCCTCCAGGATCTGGGATCAGCTCTCAAGAAAGCTCCCAGGCTAGAAACTTGATCTGAGCACTGTGTTGGATCACTGGTGCTGGATCTGCTCTCTGCATTGTTCTCGCTCTTTTTTTAGCTGTTTTACATCTCAGGGCTTCTCAGCACTTGTGTTTTCCAGTTCTTAGTTGGGTAGAGCACTGTGGTGCTGTCCTGGACTGTTTCATCACCTAACACTCCTATTTGCATTATGAGGTGTGGGGACTGTGTCCCCTGCCTGTGCTTCCTGCTCCAGGCATGACTTTCACAACTCCATGTGCCCTTCCCACCAGGCCTTTACTCATCATGTTTTACTGCTCCATGAAACACATGTATCAAAGAGACACCCTCAAGAAAATCAACTGAACCTACTCGCTATTACTTATCAAAGCTGCTAGTGCTCAGCAAAACTCATGGAGGCCCCTGAGCTGTGTGGTATGCCTTTTCCAAGGATACCTCATTCATCTCTTCCTGCTCCAGTCTCTGTATCCATGGTGTAGGAGTGTATATGTTTAAATATAATTTTATTATATTTCAGACAGTAACTGTTAGCTTGTTCTGAGGATTTCTATTTTTGATCTTCCCTGAGCAGATCCTTAATTCCCTTCAAGTGGAAATCTGGGGCAGAGGGAGCGAAGCAGATGCAGGTGTGTTACAGATAGATTTATCCTTTGAAAAGTGGACCAAGTAGTAAGATGTGATTAGGCATTAGAAGAGTATCCAAATGGTAATAAAGCAGCTTCAAATCAAGTTGGCTGTAAAAAGAAACCCAGAATTGTCATTTAATTATCATGAGACTGTCAAGATAAAGTTGCTGTTGCCTCACTGCTGTTCACCCAGACCGAGTTAGAGGTATTTGCATACTTAATGCTTTGCACTGTCAATACCAGCAGAGGCTCCCTGCTCTGGCATATGTATGAGCAAATGACTGCTTGTGGCACTCCCAGCACAGTTACTGCTCCCTTTCCAAGGGAGCTTGCAAGGTTTGAAGCTGTTTTAGTGTTTGCCAGGCTATCTGCAGCATCATAACATGTTGAAACCCCAAAGAAGGATGTGCAAAACTTTGGGAAGGGGGTTGATGACGCAGGCGAGTGCTGGCTGTGAAGTGAGCACTGGCTGTGCTCACTGGGACGTGGCAGAGACCTGTGGCAACAGGAGCAAGGGCACAGGTGCACTGCCCCTCTCCTGCCCTCATAGGGCTAGCAGGTGCAGGCAGGGTGCCAGACTGGGACAGTGACACCTTTGAAAGGGGCAGAAGGAACAGCTGATGTGGGCAGATGAGAAAACAGAGACATTCTGTGATCCCTCTTCAGGCTTGACCTGTGCTTTCATGCAATGTGTGGATTTTTGCACTTATCCAGTTGCAGAGGCAGGGCAGTGAAAGGTCAATTTTACAAACGAGGCAGGAGAAAACTTGTCTCCTGCATTGCAGACTTCTGCTTCCCTTGCGGAAATGTTCTAAGTGTTACTGGCTCACCACAGCAATCAAGAGAGACAGAGCAATGTTCTCTTGGGAACTATTTCAGAAGAGAGAGTAAAGAGGTGGTTCAGAGCACTCTGAAGCACAAGGGCATGTCTGAATACACTGGGCCTGGGTGGGCACCTGACTTCCCTCCTGCCTCCTCTCATTTTTGCACTGTGGCAAGGAAAGAGACTCAAACTGGGGAAAACCCAAGCTACTGCTATTCTCTCCTCCCCGTGGTTTGTTTTCCTGTGTATGCAAACACAACAGTGAGCCTGTGAGCAGGGAAGGCAAAACCTACTTCTCTAGCCTTGCTTGGGTCACTTCAGGGTGTGCTCAACTCTGTGGCAAAGCTACTTCAGGCCCAGCAGTATTACTCAGTTTGATGGCTGACCTTTGGGAGGATATGGGAATTGGGAGGATTGGGAATTGCAGCTGTGCCATGAAAGGGCTGGAGGGCAAGGGGAAATGCAATGCCCTTTTTTCCCTGTGCTTTCTTTGGGAAGGGGCCAGGGGTGCCTGCCACACAGGAGCAGCTCTACCGACCATGGGCCAGGACCCAATTCCAGCAAACATTTCCTCTCTAAGTGAAGGCAGAAGAGGAGGAGGAGCGGACAGGGAGGTACCAAGCTGTGCCTGCATCCAATGCCTTGGATGTCCAACCTACTGCTAAGGCCCTCTGAAGGGTGTGAGGGGCTTTGGTTAGGGGGTTTTCTGGCCAAGCTCAGGGAAATCAGAGCATTTCAATGGAAGAAGAAGGAAAGCTGTAGGTGCAGGCACAGCTGCTGTCGGTGTGTGCCTGCCTGCAGGGGTTTCCTTCCACGGGGTGTTGGCATATCTGGCTATGCCCAGGGATGTCCCCTCTGGGGCCACACCACCCCAGCATTGGCAGAATGCAAGACCCTGAAGCTGTGGCACTGGGGGAAGAGGCAGGCAGCTTGCTTGGACTTTTTTTTTAAATTGCCTCCTTAGTTTTTCCAGCCTCCTTGCCCACTGTCAGGAGCTGAGTACTGGAAAGTGGATGCTGTGTGTCCCTTACCTGGCCCAACTGATTGGCACCACCAGTCCATTTTTCCAGCAAGGGCGTCATGGGCAAATGATCAAAGAGCAAAGCAGTGAGCTTTGCACGTCATACAGACATGCTGAGAGTCACTCCTTTCTCCAGGTGCTGCCTGTCACCATCAGCATCTCCATGCTTGGGGAGGAGGTGACAGCAGTGAGGCCACATGTCCCACTGCATTTCAGGGCTTACTTTCAAACCCTCTGCTCCCAAGCTGGATGGTTTTTCTTTCATTGAAATGCAGCTTTTCTATGAGAACAGCTGTAATTACTGTTTGTGGCAGTGGAGGCATGTTGGAAAGTGCCCAGAGGAGATGCCTACCCCATACACAGTAGAGATCCTTGCTGCCTGCTCCATCCTGGTGCCTACTCCCTACTGCCTCTCCTGCTGTGTCTTCTGGGGTTGTCACCTCTACGGTGACAGAAGCTGTCGCCAGTACAGCCGGTCCTGCTGTGATCAGGTACTTGGCATTTGTCCAGAGCACTGTGCTCATTAAAATTAAGGGCCTGTTTCACTGTGGTGGATCTCCTTCTAATTATGCCCCAGCTATTTCATGTGGTTCATTACAGGTGTTTCAAGCAGTGCTGTGCTGGGTGAGCCCCAGGTGGCAGCATCTCCATCTCTGGGCAGGACTAAGCCTCTGCTGGCCCTTGAACAGGCACAGCATGGGAGGAGGCACCCAGGAGCCAAAGCATTGGGGTTTGTGGTTGACCCTGGGGTGCTAAACCTGGATTGTCCCACTGGCCCTCCTCAGCCCAGTGCCATCTGTGCTGGGACATGAGGCATATCACAGGCGGGAGGTGGTGCTGGGTTCATGTCATCTGCCTGTCCTGTTTGGAGAAGTGGAAGTGACAGGAGCTGTCGCTTCCAGATAGCACCTGGAAGTTGTCAAATTAAAGAATAAAGGTGCTGAGAGCAACAGAGAAAAATACATGTCAAATCTTCGTTAGGTTATCACTACAGGGCTTCTGGGAATGGTCCTGAGGCTCCTTTGTTGGCATAGAAGCCAGGATGGGCCATGCATGAAGCTCAGCCTTTCCTTCTGCCATGCTTCACTCCTGTGCATGGTGCTGGAGGAGCTGGAGGACATCGTGAGGAAGGACCTTGTGGGCCCACCACACAATCCTGCTCTCCTTACTCAGCTCCTGTGACACGTCTTCACTGTAGAGCAGGAAGAACCATGAGGCTCCCAGTTACTGTCTTGGTGCAGGTGAAATGATGGGGCATCGTGGAGGGGCAGATGGGTCAGAATCTGGTGGCAGGGACAGTCTCATCCCAAAGGGATCCAATCTTCTTACTTGATGATAACAAGATGTGGAACATGTAGCTATTTCCCTGCTTTTCCCTTTAGCACACAAGCTCAATGCTCTTCTCACAAGGCATGGTGTGATCTGTGGGATGTGGCCCTGTGTCCCAGCTGCACCCAGTTAACTCAGGCTTTTTCAGCCCTCACTGCTTTAGAAGGAAACCTGTGGTACCTGGTGCTGGCAGCCTTCTCCAAGAGAGAAGCTTCTGTTTTCTCCTGTGCTTCAGGATAGCTGGGGCAGATGGATAAAGTTTTGGAGAAGGCAGGAACAGGAAAAACATTTCTGCTAGGGGAACCTTCAGCAGGGCTCCCCTTCCCCTCCACCCATCCTCTGTCTCCCCTGTTTCAGTTCCACCCTGCACCCCTCATACATGAGCACAAGACTGTGAAGTGTTCCCTGGGTCCCACCACCACGTCCTCTAGGGTGGTGTCTCACCCATCTCTCTGCCCCATCAGCCCTCACAGGCATCTCTGGACCTACTTGTGCCTCTTTATTAGGGAGTATTTGTACATTTATAAAACAGTGACGCACATCTCTCACGTTCACCAGCACGAGGGCAGTTTGTGCTGGCCTTCCCACCATGGTGTCCGTGCCCACCCCACTCAGGGCCTGCTGCTCCCACTGGCAAGAAGGGGACACATCCTGCACCCCTCTTGTCACAGGAGACCTTGGTGTAAGGCTGGCTGGCATGGCCGTGGCACATTCCTGGGATAACATGTGGTGCCCCTATGGGAACCCTCCTGCTTGCAGGTTTGTGTATGGGAACCCCATGGGGAGCTGGCACAGGGTGCTCTGGAGGGCTCCCTGGGGAGCACCAGAGTGGCTGGCCTGCTGGGAGGCTCGCCGTGTATCCCCACACAGGGGAATGTGGAACACCACGCAGTTGGGTGCTTGCACCCACAGGAACATGCTTACTGTGGGTGCATACTTCAGGGGAGCTGTTGGACCATGCAGACCCAGAGCCAGGGCTGCTGTGCCCCGGTCCCTGCCCTGCGCCTCCCATCTGTGGGGCCTTGAGGGCTGCAGGGATGATGGCTCCTCCTGCGTCTATGGCTTTGGGCACGGCACAACATGGCCGTGATCCACCTGTGGGCACCAGGGACGGGGACCAACCCAGCAGGGCCAGAGGCTGCCTGGCTCAGCCCCAGCCTTCCCCAGAGGTCCCAAATTCCTGCCCTTGGGGTCCCCCTCTGCCAAGTGTGTGTATTGAGGGGGGCTTTGCCAGCTCGCCCCCCCTCCTGAGATATTTTGGGGCAGTTTGCCCTGCGCTGGTGTCTGCTGCTACAGTGGAGGGGGTGGAGGCAATGTACAACAGGACAGGGGAAGTGCTGCGGGTCCTGCCGTGTGTCCTGCCGTGTGTCCTGCCATCTCAGGGCAGGCAGGAGGGCTGTGGGTGCCAGTTTGGGCCAAGGCTCCGGCTAGTGGGCTGGACTGTGGCTGTCTGGACAGGGCTGGGCACGGAGCACCCTCCTAACCATGTGCAATCTGGGGGAGGCACAGAGGGTGCTCAGCACCTGGGGCCGGGAGCATGGCAAGGGGTACGTGCACGGTGCAAAAGAGCAGCGACAGGCAGGGGAGGGAGGGCAGGACCCGCCACGCTGCCTGGGCTGTGCCAGGCAGCTACACCAAGGGATGAGCCACTCTGGGCAATAGCTGGGCAAGGAGAGGATGGGTTCACAACAGATTGGGGCAGGAGACGGGGGAGGCAGTAGGTTTGCAGTGCTGAAATGACTGGGGATTATTGGGGGCCAACACTGGAGTGGCAGGGGGAGTCACAGTGCAGGGGTCTGGCTGGGAACGGTGATGGAGGGGCTGCAGCCCTGAGAGACTGCATGAGGTTGGGCAAGGGTGGGCAGATGCTTAGGGGAGTGTCACAGTGGTGGTGGTGGTGCCAGGGGTCAGGGTGGTGCCATGCAGGTGTGGCTGCAGTTGGGGTGTCCCTGGGCTGGCCACGGGGGCCATGCTGCTCAGAGGGGTGCCCTGCAATGCTGCACTGCCCTGCAGCAGGAAGGGAAGGAGGTGGTTCCCAGGCAGAGGGAAGCTGTTCCAGGCATGTCTCTCTCCTAGGGAAAACCATGCAGGGCAGAGGCCACCACCCAGGAGGGGTCAGCAAGGGAGGTCTTGGAGGGGCTCACAGGAACCTCAGCTTCCCCCTTCACGCTCTGCAGCACCAGGGCCTCTCTGGCCCACACCTGCTGCTCCCCCAAACTCCCCTGGCATGCCCATCGCCCTCCACGCTGTGTGCTTGAAACTGGGCTGAGCCCACGTGCTAGGGGCAAGCAGAGGGGACAGGCAAAAGGGCCAGGGGGCTGCCCCAGTGCCGGGGCTGAGGCAGCTCCAGTGGCATCACTGGGGGCGAACGGTGTGGCTGGTCCTGGCAGTGGGGTGGGGGAGGCAGGGGCCTGTGCCCACCGCACCCAGTGCCACGGTCCCTCTCCATAACGCTGGGGAGGGGGGTGACAGGGGGCTGCCCCCCAAACCCAATCTTGCCTAGCAGGCGAAGTCCTCGAAGACTCCCTGGTGAGGGTAGTGGTGGCGGTGGTGGTGGTTGGGCAGGATGCCCGTGTTGTAGGCGCCCTCCACGTGCCGACCCAGTGTCTCACAGGGGCTCTGTGGGGAAGCAGGCATTAGGGTGGGCACAGATTCCATGCATCCTGCCACCTCCCTAGTCCTCCCACCCATCACAGCCTGTCCGCAGGAGCTCCCCAGGGGACACCCAGCTCCCTGCCCCCCTGGGACTGCTCTGACTCTGCAGCTTGAAGGCACCAAATGCAGAGCCACACAGACGGGATGATGTGCCCTCCCCATGGAGGGAGACACATGGCCAGGCCCCGTTCTCACAACCTCCAGGCAGCCCAGCCCTGCAGGGGTACCTGGTCCTTCATCTCCTCCAATCCCAGTGTGGCGATGCTGCCCGAGGGCTTCTTCAGAGGTGGCTTGGAGCGGCGCAGGACCCGGCTCACCTTATCTCGGATCACCTGGGTGCAGATGGGGGGTCAGACCTAGACCTGCACACAGGTAGCACCCTGTCTACACAGAACTGCTGCCTGCTCCTCTCTCACCCAGGGATAGTGGGACAGTACCTTGGCACACCCCCTCCCTGTCCTCGGGTCACTGAGGAATGCAGAGGGACCCATTCTCCTCCCACTGCCTTCCTCCGGGTGTTCCCTAATTTGGGGGCTGCTATAGCCCTCTGGGGTGGCCACATATTTTACACCCTCCCCAGGAAGCCTGTCTCTGTACCCACTGCTGAGACACATCCCTGAAGGCTAACACACCTCATAGATGTAGTCCAGGATCTCCAAGATGGTGAGGATGCTGGCACCGATGAACAGGCCCATCTGCCCCCCAATGTCCCCTGGGGAGGAGGAGGGGAAGATGGTCACCAGGAGATGCTGTGCAGCCCACTGGAAGCCTGGAGTGGGCCAGCAGGGCAGTGCCAAGGCTGCCAGATGGTGGGGCACAGAGCAGTCATGGGGGCAGGGTCAGCAGGACCGAGGGCATGGGGAACATGCAGGATAGGGGACAGTCAGCAGTGTTCCACCCTTCAGCCAGCCTGCGTCTGGCTGCTGCTCTGTGTGATCCCTTCCCCTCCAGACCCTCATCTTCCCAGGGCTGGGACCCAGAGCTCCGCGCCTTAGGGCCCCAGAGGAAGGTGAGGGGAGTCACCGAGAAGCCCAGCAAGGTCATAGGCTTTCTTCTGCTCAATGGCTTCGTAGTTGAGCGCCTCAAAGAAGATGTCCAGCACCAGGAAGTTCTCCCTGTGGGGACATCATTGTGCTGAGCAAAAAGGGCTGATCTGGACCCTCCTTCATCACTTCCCACAAACCTCCCGTGTCCCCCAGCCCTCCAGCTCTCAGGTTCTCCCAGATGCTCCCATGGCCCTCATGAATATTTGGGCTGGTGCAGTGGGGACATGGAGGGGACATGTCCCAGGCCAGGAGAGACAGTGGGGTGGGCAGGTGCTGGCAGGAGGGCTGGGAAGATTGGACAAGTTGGGAAGAAGCTCTAGTGAAAACACCCGTGCACAGAGGATGCTGCGAAACCAAGTATGCCAGGACCCTCTCCCTGCATGCTGCCAGGAGTGGAGTGGAAGTTCCCCAGGTCCCCAGCCCCCTGCCCATGCCCTGGAATACCCCAGTGCTGGCAACTCACCGAATGTAGGTCTCGTTCTTGTTGTACTTGCGGGCGAGGTAGCGCGCCGAGCCCTTGTTGGGGATGCGGACCATGGAGATCTCCTTGCCATAGCGTGTCAGGTTGCACGGTGTGGGGCAGCTGCAGCGCTCCTGGCTGTCCTCCACTGCTGCGTCTGGGGGCAGACGCCCATTGGCACAGGCACAATCTCCAGCCCCCTCCCCGGGGCACTCAGCCAGCCCCTAGATGCCCACCCACTGCCTCACCTACCCAGTGTGTGGTCAGCACACTCGATGTACACATTAGGGGAGCAGATGGACTCATTGCCTGTGGAGAAGCAGTGGTTGGGAGGGGGGGAGTCCAGTCAGATTCTGCCCCCCCACTCTTAACTCACTCCCTTGGAGGTAGTGCAGAGGGCAGGGTGCAAAGAGAATGGGGATGAGTGACCCTTGGGTGCAGGCTGGTTGGGGCAGATGTGGCCCAGGTACAAGGCAAACAGGGAAGGTGCTGACCTGTGGTGTAAGGAGGGTAGGACAAGGGCTGACCCAGCATGTGGACAGGATGGGGTGGTCCCTGGGTGGAGAGAGATGGGGCCAGGGGAATCCTTGGGTAGAGAGTGTTGGGGCAGAGGTGATCTTTGGGTGCAGACTGCAGGGAGTCGGAGCAACCCCAGCAACCCCAGCTGGGGCAGTGGGGCGCCCCTCACACCATCATGCACACCCCTCACCTGGCATATGGACCATGCGGCAGTGGCAGCTCTGCACCACGGCCTCCTTCTCACACTGGAGGCGGCAGGCAGCGATGCTGTAGGTGTCATAGCCAGGCAGCAGCTGCTCCCCCTGCATGCTGGCCCGGCAGTTCCCCCACGGCTGTGGCAGGTAGGTGAGCTGTTGGGGTGAGAAGGGCATTGCTACAGGGCTGTGCTGGGCTGAGTGCCAGCAGGCACTACCCCGGGGCTGTGGGGCATCCCGCCTTACCCGCTGCTCCTGGCAGGACACAAAGGTCTGGAAGCCAGGCGAGACACCAAAGCCCAGCTGATGGATATAGGGTGGCTCGTCCTGGCTGTGGATCTGGACCCGGATGCCAGCTTCAAATGATGTCTCATCTATGGGAGTACAGAGGTGCTGCATGCCTGCACTGGCCCATCACCTGCACCCCTCTGATGCCCTGCTTCATCCATAGTCCCCTCACAGGGTGCTCTGCTTGCCCAGCAACCTGCATCCTAGCACCCATCACCTGTGCCCTGCCTGAGCCATAGCCCCACTTACTGGTCTCTCTCCAGATGGGCAGGTACTCTTCCTGCTGGATGTCCAGCATGATCTCCAGCCCGTTGCCCATGCCACCCTGGCGGGTCACACGTGGATTCCTCCGATCCCCATTGAAGGTGTAGCACTTCCCATAGCGTGTGTAGACCTGGGGATGGAGAGAGCAGTGGTAAGGGAGCAGGCAGGGATCTGGTCGAGCATTCTGCAAGCAGGATGAGGTCCAGAAACTCCTTTTTGATTCCAAGGAGGTGATGGAAGGAAGGTACAGTCTTTCATGACCTTTGGAAAAGCTCATCTCAGCCTGACTCCCTACTGTACCACTCCTCCACCCTTGCTGGAGGGGGGGTGAAGCATCATTCCCAGTAGCCATGGGGCATCCCAGCTGTCCTGCACCTTCCAGCAGGGAACTCACGGGAGTGAAGTGCTGGGGGCCACAGCGCTCTCCCTGAAAGCGACACTCCACCAGCATGTCCTCGATCTGGTGGCCCAGGCGGTGAAAGAAGCTCTGCATGGTGCGCTCGGAGCGGCGGGGCGGCAGGAAGCGCGAGTAGTTGGCCAGACGCGTCAGCCAGGCACGCTGGTCCTCCCCCAGCACGGCCAGCATCTCGGGCACCAGCGAGTGGTTCTCCCGGGCCAGCCCCAGCCACTCTCCCACCGAGTAGAGGTCGGGCTTGGTGAGGTGCAGGAAGCGTGCCCGGTTGGGGTTGCAGAGGGTGACAGCCGGGAAGCGGAGCTGGGGTGCCCAGGCGAGGCGTGCGCGGGTGTGCACGGGCCGCGAGAGCAGGTGGTGCAGGCGATCGGCGGCGCCGGTGGCCAGCAGCCCGGCGGAGGCCAGGAAGGCCAGGCTCCAGAGCAGGCGGCGCAGGCGGGACTGGGGCCGGGTACACATGTAGTGCAGCCCGGGGATCCGGGTGGTTCGCAGGATGCCGACAACGAGCTGGGGCGCGCTGCTGTCCTGGGGTGGTGTCAGAACTTCCCCGTCCTGGCAGCAGGCAAGGGGCAGCGGCATGGCTGCATTCAGGGTGGCTCCTCTGGAAAGTGGGCTGCAGACTGCCCCTGAAGCTGCCCAGGGTCCCTGCTCCCCTCCAGGGATCTCCCTCTCCTGGGAGGCTTTTGCTCTGCACCTTCCTGGAGACGAACAAGGCAGGCGCCTTCCTGAGCTGCTTTGGTGATGGGTGAGGGGAGGGAGAGGAGGGGGTTGCTGCAAACACGCCTTTCCCCAACCTGCATTCAGGAATGGAAAATTCCTTCTCGAGCTGGGTCGGGACAGGGGTGTGTGTTGTCTTACCCCAGGCAAGCTGAACTGGCAGCCCCCAGTGTCCCAGCATGGTGGGCATCTCTGTCTGGATAGAAATGACCTGTCTCAGGCACACTGTGTGAACCCTGTGCCTAGGAATGTCATGCTTCAGCTCTTCCTCCTTGTCCCTTGCCATGCATTTCAGTGTCACCACAAAATATTGCCCGGACCTCAAGGGTCCCCAGTTGTGTCTGCTCGGCAGCTGGGTACTCTGCCCCATGGAGGCAGGACAGTGACAGCACTTGGGAGGCCATCACCTGCTGCAAGTTCTGCTTGGGACCTTGTCTACCTTGTACCTTGGTCTCCCTGTCTCTGGAGCTGGGGTCCTCAGTGCATCTGGGCCAGGTGGGGCGGGAGAAGCGAGACTGTGGGTCAGGAGGAGCGGAACCATGGGGTGGGAGGCTGCATGACAACCCACCTGCGCCTGGCGGGTGCTTTGAAGTGACGGGAGGCTGTGATCAGAGCGCAGCAGTGGCGGGGAGGGGGGGGTGGGTGTCTGTACCCAGCTGTCAGCGTGGCTGGCAGCGCCCCGACAGCCTGTCAGCTGCCTTCAAAGCTCAGCACTGTACTCTCCTCAGCCTCTCATCTCCTGCTGCTGCAGCTTCCAGGCACCCACCTTCAGTGCTCACCCAGCGTGGGCTGGCATGGGGAGGGGGTGTCCCTCATGCTCCACAGCTCCAGGACAAGTCAGGGCTACTGGGCCCAGTCAAGAGCAGCATCAGGGCAGGAAAAGGCCAGTGGTGGCAGAAGAGATTGGAACAAAGGGAACTCCTGATGACCTCAGCAGTGACTCCCCAGCACCATCCCTGCCACAGGCCTTGATGCCTGAGCAGCACGTAACTATAGCCATGATGGGGACACGGCCAGGATCCCATCTGGCAGCTTGGTTACGGGTGCTGGAGGACTTCAGGCCGGTCAGAAGCAAGACAGGCCCCGAGGGGGGCGAGCGGAGGCAGCGGGCAGCACCCAAGGGCAGCAGGGCCACACATGCCATCCCTCGCAGGCCGTGCCCGCTGTCCCTCACAGGCCATGCCTGCCGTCCCTCACAGGCCGTGCCCGCTGTCCCTCACAGGCCGTGCCCGCTGTCCCTCACAGGCCATGCCTGCCGTCCCTCACAGGCCGTGCCCGCTGTCCCTCACAGGCCGTGCCCGCTGTCCCTCGCAGGCCATGCCCGCTGTCCCTCACAGGCCGTGCCCGCTGTCCCTCGCAAGCCGTGCCCGCCGTCCCTCACCGGCCGTGCCCGCGGTGCCGGGTGCTCGGCGGGCGCTGCCCGGCAGGGGGCAGCAGCGCCCCGCGCTCCGCGGCCCCGCGCCCCCGCCGCCCCCGGGCCCGGCCCGGCCCAGCCCCAGGGCAGCCCCTGAGCCGCGCCGGGCGGCCGCTGAGCTCTCCGGCCCCTGCTGTACACCCGCCCCCCAGTCCAGCGCTGGAACCATCCCCGGCGCGGACGCTCCGCTCCCTGCACGCTCGGGACCCTGCGGTACCCGCCCTGAGCTGTCCCCTCAGCGCTGTATCACCGCAGCAGCGCCAGGACACGGCTCAGCCCCTCTCTGTGGGGCGGCTGCAGCCGGCTCGGCTCTTCTCTGAGATTTATCGCGGCTGTGAGCGCCGGCGGCTGCCAGCCCGATAACATCAGCCACGGCACACCAGGGCAGCTTCTATATTAGTTTTCTTTAAACGGAGGATAAGCTCCCCAGGCTGGAGAAAATGTCATTTCTGTGAACGCTTCCATCTCGTGTCAGTTCAGACATCTCCGGGCGGCATGGCAATCACCCTGGAGGGGGTGAGGGATGGGGATGGGATGCAGAGGCTGGGGCATATGGGGACAGATCTTAGGGACAGGGACCAGTGTTGGGCAGGATTGGAGGCCCAGGTCCAGCTGTGGTGGTGGCTGTGTTCCAGGCAGGTGGGCACGGCTGTCGGGGAGGGTGAGGAGCAGGGGTGCCCATGGCGTCCAGCTGAGTTACTCACTTGTCGGCTACTGGGGTACTGAGGCCAGCTGTGAAATCACACTGGCGAGAGCACAGCGCAGTCCTGAAGGGCTTTGCCTTTCCAGCATGACAAATCCAATTAGATAACAGGGAGCGCATGAGGAGGAGGAGGAGGAGGAAGAAGAGCAGAGGAGAGCCTGCCTGTACCAGGAACAGGATTTTCTTCCCGCAGCTGACCCAGAAAAATACCTTGCAGGACTGAAGTGCACATGTCCAGCCAAGGATAGCAACTGAGATACAGGCCCTTAGGCACCCAGCTCTGCCTGCTGGGCACCCATGCATGTTGCAGTCTTAGAGCCAGAGACACAGCCTTCCCGTGTTACATGCTGGTCTCCTTGCTCAGCCAGTGCATGCTGGCATCCCCACACCATGCTCACATGCAGGGGAGACCCCATTAGGGAGGTAATTTCTTGACATGATTCCTCATTTTCTTCTCTCTCCCATGGAGACACGCTGACCTTGACAGAAATAGCTGCCTGTGCCTCGGCAGGCAGATCCCAGTCAGTTATTGCTGGGGCCCCTGGCATCTTCTTCCCCAACCCACACAATTCTGGGGGCCCCAAAGTGCCCCCCATGCTCCCAAGACTTGCTTCCCAGCCCCCTTGCTGTGGGGGGCCTTTTGGGAGCAAGATGCTGACTGCCAGCATCCTCATCCTGGCTCACGGCAGCCCACCCGTGAGCACTGGGGGCACGAGGACCAACATCAGGCATTCCCAGTCCCCCATCCCCAGTGCTGCCAGCCCATTGTGCCAGCCTCGAGCTGATCCCAGCTCATGCAGGTATTTCCACGGCTTACACGGCTCCCCATGGTATTTAGCCTCTGGAAGACGACGTTAAACATTGCAGGCAGTGACAAATCCTGATTGCTCTGAGGAGACAAGAGGCCGCACTAAGCTTCCAGCCAAATGTTTTCATGCAAGGGGAACGAGCTGCAACATGTGTGGTGCCAGCGGGGCCTGCTGCTGTGTGCCTGGGCCACCCAGCCCTGCTCCCACATCCCCACGGGGACAGCCAGCCCTGTTCTCACATTCCCACTGGGACATGCAGCTGACGGGCAGGCCCTGGGCATGGGCACACCACACAGGAGCAATCACCCCAGCATAGAAGCACCCCTGAGAACAGTCATCATTGGGGCATAGTGGGGATGGGGACAGGAATGGGAGGACACCAGAGTGCTCCCCACCTGGATTTGGTGGGGATGCCAGCCCAGGGGTAACCTTGAGGGTCATGTCCAGGTACCTAAGCCCAGAGAGCAAATTAGCATGGGCAAGGCTGTGACACAAAGGAAAGCAGCCTCCAAAACCTGAAATTATTTTTCCTGCCTGAGTGCAGGCACCTGGAGCACAGGGATGTTCCTGGACAGGAGACATGGCACAGGAGCTGGGGCCAAACTGGGATGACACTGGTAGAGCTGGGGCAATGGCACACCCAGGCACCCTGCCTCCTGCTCTGCCCCTGCCCCACACTGTGGCCATCCCAGCTCTGCTGGAGCCCCTCCCCATGCCAGAGGCCCCCCCCGAGGCAGCCCCCATCCCCACCAGCCCGCTCCCCCCGCACAGCACAGCCAGCCCCGCCTGGGTGCCCCGGGAGGGAAGCTGCAGCGCTGACGCCAGCATTACAACTGCCCGGGATATGAGATCCGCTTGGATTCAGCAATTTCAACTCATTTCAAGCCCGATTCTGCAGCAATTTTCTGAGCCAGTGGGATGTTTTTGCCACTGCAAACGTCCCTTCTCATGCATGGTCGCACCATTTCCTTTCCCCGTTCCCAGGAGGATTTGGGGAACGGTGCCAGTTTGGCTCGACCCCAGCTCTGGCAGTAGCACAACCATCTCCCACACTAGCAGCCCCTCAGTGCAGCCC